AAAGAGAAAATAATTTTGCATACTATATAGGTTTTACATTATTCTGAGATTTATTTAGTTGAATATTTCATACTTAGAATTCACTCTTCTATTGATGATTCTATTAAGAATTTGCCATTTGATTGTTACATAGAAATACCTACTCACACCTGATGATTTTGTTCCTGAAGCTATTAAGCTGTTCAGCTCCAGGCCACAAGCCCCATGGACCCTGCTGGCATGCAGCAGCAAACCAAGACGCCACAGACCTATTCCTAGGAGGGTTCATGGACTTTGAGACAATTACCATAGAAACTTCCAGACAATAAGCAGCCCCGAGAACATCCTGAGGGATTTGGTCCCAGATTCTTCAACTCCAAAGCAAGCTCCCCAGAGGAATGCCTTTCTAAACAAGCTTCACTGGAGGAGCTTTCTCCCGCCTTGGAAGGAGGGGAAAAAAAGCCAGTCAGGAATAGCAGGGCCACCTGAGGGCCCCAGGGAAAGAGTGGTGGGTCTGGTCTGGGCCCAACAGTCAAGGTAGGCTTACATTCCAGGCTAGAGGAGCTCAAGGCCAGCAGGTTGGGTGTTGGGAAGGTTAGAAAAAGAAGGGGCACCATAACAAGCCTTGGAGACACCTCCTGGTCCCCCCAGGCTTTGCTCTGTTCCAGTGCAAACAGAGAGGGTGCTGCCTGGGCACTGTTGCCACCTTCCAGGTGAGGTCCAAGCCCCTCTTCACTTTAAAATATGCAGCCAGACATCAATCTTAGAACCAGCTCCACAGATCTAATATAACCCACGGACTGGAAGCCATGATGCTTTTGTCTTTGATGACCTCTATAGAGCTTTAGAAATGTGCCGATAACTCAATCAATCACTATTTGAGTACCTTCTATATAGTAAGGCATCAGGAGAGGTGCTAAGGGTAATATAAGAAAAATAAACACGGTCCCTGCCTCAAGGAGCTTATAGAGACAGAAGCAAACAAATAATCATTAACTGCTTTTGTTGTTGTTGTTAGGCAACCAACAATACTTAGTATGTAAAATCTGAGTTGAGGATGGGGTAGATTCAAGGCATTCAGAATAAAACTCATCACACTATGGGTTACCCATGCCTCAAAACCCACAAGATTTTAAATATGTAAAATAAACATATCTTCCTTGCCAATTTTGTACTCCCCAAATAATTTCTAAAATACAACTTGTGTTGTGCAGAGGCAAGCTGTATATAACTTACATCCAGGGCACAGATCTGCCTAGATCTATCATCTCCCATGTTCAAAAATAAAATTATTGCTGCCTCCAGAAAGCAATGATATTTCTAAAGAGAAAAAAGTCTGCTTGCTTGCAAGCTTCATTTTTTTTTTTAAATTAGAATTAGATATGAATTCCTAAGTATCCTACAGCAATGAGAAATAGGAGCTTATTGTCTTGCTTGTTCAAAAGGCAGGTGAAAGGAAAAAGTGAACGTCTGAATGTTTTATAGTTGGGAGAAAGCCTGATTTCTCTGACTCTGAGATAGACAAGGAAACTGAACAAGTATTATTTTAATGAAAACCAAAGCTTTCATTTAAGTGAATTGAATGTTAAATGGCATTTTGGTTGAACAGGCATACTTTTAAAACTTATTAATGGCAAACTGATTGTTACCTACCAGCCTATAGCTCTAAGGGAGAGACTACTATTAACATTATTTACATCACATATATGCTGTATCTAAACATTCCATTCATTTTAACATGTATTAAAAGCATAAGGCTCCATGTTTATCTGCAAGCTATGTACAGTACTATTGCTTTCCCTGTCAGCAAAATGCTGAGACATTTACAACGTATAAAAGCATTCCTACAGTGCAGTTGAGTATTGGAAGCAAAGAGTGAAGGGCATCAGGAATGTTATTCATCAATGACTGTCAAAAGATATGTTAGACCAGTGGTTGGCAAACCGCAGCTTGCGCAAGCCACAGATTGCCGACCACTGTGTTAGACCATTGAGGTCTGTTTCTAAAACATACCTTGAGTGAAATTATGCCATTAAAAGGCTATTCTAAAATACCCAGGCTCAAAAGTCTGTAGAAAAAGATGTAAATATATAATTTAAATACTTTCAAAAACAGTCAAGATCATTAAAAACAGAACTGATCCAATGCAAATGGATCTCTGCCAGAAGCCAACTCCAGCATGTCAGCAGGGCTGAATCATCTGGAAATGGCTGAGGGCATTTCAATCTACAAGTTATTTCCTCCTGCTGACCAAATACCTGAACAGCCTAAGGCAGTTTTTCCCAAACCTGATAATCTGACAATGGACTCTGTGTACTAAACCCTGACCTTTGATGTGTAGATGTACCTTGCCTTAGGACAATTTGTGTTAATAAAAAGCAAGGGGTCCTGAGACAGGGGAGAACTTGGCCAACTCCTCTGGCCCCCCAAATGCCTTCCAAAATTGTTTTGTCTCTGGACTCTTGATTAATTTACACACAGCACCTTCTCCAGATTTCTGAACCCTTCTAGATGCTGGACCAAGAAAACCAGCATTAGTTCTCCTGTCTTTTCATGACATTATCAATTTGCCACATGAGAACATTTATCACAGGTCTAATCCTTATTCAGACATGCAGATGGCACAGCATACTTGGGCCTGTTAATATAGCTTCCTAAAAATAGAATAAAAGCTATGTTGTCTGACACTTTACCAAGGGGGAGAAAGGGCTCTGACACATTTCCTAAAAACTTTTGTATTATAAGGTCCAATGACAAGCCAGCATGGACCCATTCACTTTTAGAGGTCAAAGGACCTCAGAGGTCAACTTTCCAGGCCATGTAAAGAGAAAGGGAGACAGTGAGGAGTGGACTCTTCCTTTTTGGTGTGGTACTTCTTTCCCTACACCCTCACCCAACTTACCCATTGCCCAAGTAAACTGTTTCTATGACATTTCTTTTGCCCTAAGATAAATTCACCTTTTTAATGAAAAATTTCTGCCTTGGTGCCATTCCCATAAATAATCGAATGTTAGCATACTTCAACCTTGCAGCACATCTATATATATAAAAGCCCAAGTGACCATTAGAACCAGTTGGCCAAATGACTGGTTGCTATGACAACACACTGATGACTATGGGGCAGATGCTTAATGCAGGTGGTCAGTGTGCTTCCACAGCCAACCTCCAGTGGTCTCTCCCCTCAGCCAGCGGGGGCCTGATCAGCCTTGCTCAGTCAGGGCTGGCCAAACCCCCAGCCCCAATAGCCCAATCAGGACTGTGCGAGATGAACCCCGATAGCTAGCCAGGCTGAGGGACCCCACCTGTGCACAAATTCGTGCACCAGTCCTCTAGTCCTATATAAACCACAAGTATTTTTACAGTTCATGTTCAGCATTACATTTTGCTTTCTGTGCAGTTTTTAGTTAAAGGAAGTTTTTCAGTTTGGGAATTCTCATTTATGGGTGATGGGTTTCCTTACCATTACCCTTAATATGATGTTGCTATTATATGAGGTAATTAAAATTCTTTGGTTTTGAGGTCATAGATTGGAAACCTGGTACATGCATTGGATCTTACGAGGGCATGAAGAACTTTGGCACATGAATTAATAAAAACTAACTCTAGGACTCCAAGCATTATTTAACAGATGTTTTACCGTGGGCTCTCCTTCACATCACTGGATTAATTGTCTCTTTAAAGAGGCACACAGGAAAAGTAAATGTGGTGTTAGCATCTGGACAGTCTTCATGTAAGGTGAGTGGCTAAGACACCAAGGACAAGAGAATTTTCTATGAAATAGCCCCTTCTTATTAGCAAGAATATGGCAGATTTTGTTCACCCAAATAGTAAGATTCATCTTCAAGTCTAGTAACAACTAGGGATAAGATAAGGGTTAGGATTTTGCAGGATCTAAGTGAAATTCAAAGTGAGTCATTCTTTCATTTGATGGGCTTTAAATTCTGTCTGATTTTGAAAGTATACAAAATATACTAAGTATTTTGTGTTCCAGAAAATACTGATTCAAATGTTCAGAGTTGTGTGTCAGTGCTCCTCCACAGAACTGGAGTATCCCAACCAATGTAAACAAAGTGTAACTGAGGAAAAACAAGCGGAGGATGCTTTATGATGGTGATGGTGTAAAGGGTGCCTTCAGGCTTTCAGGTATTTCTAGGGGATACCCCAAGGGCCATGACAACTCTGGGGCCCCACAAAACCTCAGTGCTGGTCTTGGGAAACCCACTGCAAGTCAGAATACCACTCTGAACCTGGGCTGACCCCAGGGGCCCATCAGTTGGTGAAAAACGTGACCTTCTGAATTAGATCACTCTAAAATAACTCTAAGCAAATAATGTTCATTAAAAGGAACAAAAGGGGGGACGGGGAGAGGGAGGGACATTTCTGACACTACTGAAAAATGTGTACATACAAAAGGATTCAATACTCATTACTACAGCTGCATAGAAAACATCAAAGACAGTGGATAGTTTCAAGGACATCAGAAGGATATAGTATCTCTTCCATATAGTATTGTGACTCAGATTGGAACAAAGAGATTGTGAGTTCTGAGCAGGCAAAGCACTTGAAAAATAATGTTGATATGAAGGAGCAAGAGAAAGGTCAAGGATAATGCTTATGTGTTAAGTAGCCAAACAAGGAAAAAATAAAAACACATGAAATTTATATATATTTATATGTATAATTTTAAAAAATTACATAACTCAACACTTGAAAAAAATAAACATGTGGCCCTAGAAAGTACCAATGATCCAATCTTACGGGGTATTTTAATTTTTCTGGTTTTCCTAAGGTCCAAACTCTATAATAATAAACTTCTCCACCGTATTCACAATTAATAATTAAGACTGGTTCATTATTTTGGATTCACGTCTACTTTGTCCAATACCCTTTTATTTCTCTGTACCCCTCATTTACCATTCCAAAATAACAACATCAGGTTGGATTAAAGTATTTTAACTGCAAATCCACTATATTTCAAATCTGACAAATATTTCAATTCATGACACCTATAGCACATTATCTATATTTGCACACTTTATTTTAAAACAATAATACACTTAGAGCCACCAGAAAAGGATATCTCAATTAGTTTATCTATACCCTGAATTTACAAAAGAAACTTCTTGCACCACAAAAATTAGCATTTGGATTAATTTACATTAATTGATATTATAACTAATTTTTAAAATGCCTGAAGATCAAACAATTTGTCCCAGGGCTCACCAGTTGAGGGGTGTAGGGTGTGGAGAAAAGGAGTAATTTAGGAATCTGAACTAATGATGCCCCGAGGTCAGCTCTAGTAAACGGTAGTTGAGGAAACATAAAATAACCAATAAATTTCAAGATTACAAAGAAGTGGTTCCTAAAGAAGTGGTTCCTCCTAAAAACAGATATTAGATCATAGTCGGGACAGGTGTAGGGGATAACTCTTAATCTGGTTTGGAAAAAAGTGTGTGGAGAAGGTATATGTGTGGGGGGGAAGGGGGGGAAGGGGGGGAGAATGTATTAGTTTTTCACAAGAGGCAAGCTTCAGCCAAACAATGAGAAGAAAGTAGGAAGAGAGGTATTTGATACATTGAAGACTTTCTGATCGCTGATAACACCAAATTTAGCAGCTCTCTACAAGTCAACTAAAATACCATTCTCTGAGACATTTTCAGAGAGGAGCTAACATAAAACCAGGAAAAAAACATTCTACATTAACAAGGCACTCACTGGTTCACAGCCTGTTAAAAACCCAGGCAGACATTACAGTTAATCTAAGTTAAAGTCAACTTTCTAATTTGCATCAGAGGGATGACAAGCAAGTGGTCAAATTAAATCAAGTCAAAGCTTGATTAGCAAAGGTCCAGAAAATGCTGGCCCCCGAGCACTACTTCAGTAACACTGCTAGAGTAAGCAAATGGGGACTAGGGATCTATGTTTGGTCTACTATTTGCATTTTTAAACATTAAAAAAAATGATGTAATTTGTTAAATACTTTGTCAACCTTCTATCCCTCTCACTGACATGGAGACTCAGCTGGATAATGAATATGGCCAATTAAAAAGCCTTCAGTGATAGAAGTAAACATTACTACAGTCATTTACTAATGACCTGTCCTCTGGTTTTAAACACAGCTGTTAGTTCTTTGGGACCTTCCCCTAAAACCAACTTTGGGAATTGATATATTTCACAAAATATACATATCATTTCTGTCAGCAACTACTTTTGTACAACTTGAATCCCAGTGTCAAACACTAAAGATCTGCAATGATATAAATAATTAAATGAGTAACACAGTAACGGAGGCAACTGCTAAGTAAATAAAATTAATGATCATGTACTTAATAGCTTTGAAATAGTTTTCAAAGAACAAAGGAAGCTGAAGAAAATTATACTCAGAGTTCTCTCTCTCTCTCTCTCTCTCTCTCTCTCTCTCTCTCTCTCTCTCTCCCTCCCTCCCTCTCCCTCTCCCTCTCCCTCTCCCTCTCCCTCTCTCCCTCTCTCTCTCTCTATATATATATATAAATTCAGTAACAGTTTGGCTCTTGGTTGAAAACATCACACAGACATACACACTAATCAGAGATCAACTGTCTAGACTTACTATCAACATTAATGATAAAATTTAAGTTCTTTCAAAAGAAAACCAAAATTAAAACTAAGTCTTTCAATCTGATTTGTGACATCTTAGTTCAATATAACTTAAATGACCAAGCCTGAGAAAAGCACCAACACAGCTTTTTCAGTTGTACCCAGACATCATTTCGTATGTTATAAAGATTTGCTTTAGTTAAAATGGCAGCAATGACAAAGAGGTAGATATGACAGATGCCATTTAAATACTATTCTTAGGTGGAATTTTAACTAGTTCAAGGTGTTTAATCTAAAAATAATTTTTACTAGTTGAATCTCTTCATTACATAAGAATTTCATGACATGCTCTTGTGTAAGGGGAAATACATGAAGTACTAAAAAAGGTGACCTTTTAAAAATTACATTTACTTAGCCAACATTAATGAGATCCCATAATTTTGGTGAATCAGTAACTTATCCTTTTACCTGAACTTGACTATAATTAAATAGTTATTTTCTTCTCTTCTGAAATTTTTAGGAATTCACATGAAATGTCCCCTGAAGTCCTAGAAGTTGAGCAGATACATTAAAAAGACATTGATGGTCACAAATCAGGAACTTCACAGATTGGCTCACACACATGAGAGCATGTGCGCTCATACACACACACACACACACACACACACACACATGCACACATACACACACACACACACACACACACACACACACACACACACTCATTCTCTCTTACTCTCCCCACTCCCTCCAAAACTCAATCCTCATCTTTACTGTAAGGCTGCATTTGTATTTTTTTTTAAAGGCACCTCTCATTCTCTAGCTATTGCCTTCTTGATGATATCTGTTTTGTTAAAAATCCTGAATGTTCAATGGAAATAGTTCAGTACTGAGAATGAAATATTTTTCAATTCACATTTAAATAGCCAAGTTTTCTTACATTCAGATTTTAATAAACTAGAACGACAATCTTTAAAACAAGCATGCTAGCCTATAATGAATATAATATTTACAGTAATTTAAACATTTAGAACTATATATATTATACTGCAAAAGCAAACAGCACAACACTCATCATACTCATCATTACCTGCTGTGTACACTACCTCCAAAAATGAAAATACAAAACAGTAAAATGCACCTATGGTTTTATATATATATATATGTATATATATAGTCTCTATATATATTATATATATTCTCACAATATATATAATATATATTTATAAAATATACATACATTTTAGACATTTTCAAATAAATCATCTCCAAAAAAAAAATCTGTAGCAAGAATACTGAAGGAATGAAAGTCAAATAAACAAAAAATTTCTCACAAAGTTCATTATCAATGATGCAGCTCAATTTCTCCCCCTTTAGTCATAACTAAAATGATTATAAAAGCTAAATACTTTGCATAACTAATTATCTGTTTAATGACAAAAATTGATAAACTTGTTCAATAGAAAAATACTGAAGGTCATTATATCACTCATGTTAAATATCTATGGTTCCAGTAGCAAATGAGCTCCAAATGACAGCTGAGTTTTGAGAAGGGTGCTGCAAGCTCCCACAGGTGTACCTACAGCATAGGAAAATAAGGCAGGAACCCACATCTTCTGATGCCTTTCATACTATTCCAATACATTTCATCCAAAATATTTACAAACTAAGCCCTATGAGAGTATGTCAATGACTTTTAATTTTTTTTTTTTCATTTTGTTCACCTTTCTGGTGGGCTGAGGGGAAAATCAGACACATGAATATACTTCTAACTGGCTGGAAGACACTTTGGCTCATTTCTAGGCTGACATCACACAGCGCTAGTCGAGAGGAATCTGTTTCTTTGTACACTCTCCAGTGGCACAGCATTGGCTTCCTAAGGAACTTTCAACAGTTCCAACACTTGCACTACTATCTACATTATCTCGTGGTTATTTTCCACTCGCTATCAGAAAAAAATCAGCGGTGAGGTATAAAATGCAGGTGAAGAGAGAAGTCTTGGTTTTGAGAATTTCAGTGGCAGGCGAAGGTAATGAAGACCATGGAAGGTAATTAAAGCAATAACTGGCAGAACAATAGCTTTGTAGTTGTCCATCATAAATAAAAGAAGGGTGGGCACCTGGCTAGAATTTTCCAGTATCTTTCTACAAATGTTAGCAACAGCATTACTTTACTTTGTGAAGAACCAAAAGAGGAATTCCACAAACACAATGTGGAATTCCATATCTGCATGGGAATATAAACATTCACCTGGTATACAGTTCAGCTATGATATGGTAGCTCATGTCCAGGTCAATTCATTTGATTATACAAGAGTCCCTTGAGCCCACTGTTAACAAAAGCTCAGATGACATGACAAGGTAGCTGTGTCAAAATATTAAAGCACATTGTATATCAACCAAGCATTTAGCACAGGCCCTGAACTTTAAAGAAAATTTGCCTGTATATTACAGATTTCTAGAAGCAGACAAGCAGTAATTTTAAAGAAAAAAAGTTAATTATCCACATTAACACCAGGATACTTCTTCAAGGAGAAATATCAGTACAAGCGCAAATGTTATGACGATGGAATGTGTGAGGACAGGAATGTAGGGATTGTATTAAAAGGTTAAGATGTTTAGGGATATGGGTTTTGTAAAGTCTGAGAGCCTACTATATATACGTTTTCCTGAAAAGGTGCACTTTAGTAATTTATTTCTAATTTCTAGGTTGGTCTCTAACATTATGAATGATCAAGAGTGAGTGAGGAGAGGCAAGAGTTGCAGGGATGAGGTCTGAGTACCATGTTCAGAGAGTGGGTCATGGGACTCCCAAGAGCTGACGACATGTTGGTCAAAGGCAAGGAGCTCAGGGGCCTCTGGTCCTTTAATATATGGTTTTCCACAGAAACAATATTGATTTGCCATTAAACATGTTGTGTTTTAAGTTAAACAATGGAGGAAGGGTAGGGAGAGGAAAAGAGAGAACTATTTACCCAACATTTTACACTGAACCCTTCCATGCAGATTTTCAAGAGGTTCTTATTGGAGATGCTAATGGAGAACTTCTGAGGTAAAAAAAACATTGGCTTTATTTAGTATGTCTGCAAAAGCAGCTGAGATTAACCATACCCTTTGGACTGTTAAAACATAATTATGAAATATTTTTTTGGTGTCAGATAATTTGAATATGAGAGACAAAGAAGAAAGAGCAAAGATCATCTGAAGCATGGTTATGTGGGTTTCGATAAATGAGTACTTGCAAATAACCACCATCTTTCCAACCACTGAAAAGTTAAGATTTTACCTATATGAAATAATCACTCTGATACTGTAAATACCATGTGAATAAAGTTTTAAAATTAATAGAAATTATAAAGATATGCCCTGCTTGCCCTTAAAAATAAGCAGAATTAAGTTAAATCCTTTAGTAAAAGCAGACTCTATGAACTACTCTTCACAATGGTATTTTTGACAACTAAATTTTAGAATGTTATCAAATCCACTTTCAAAAATGTAATACAATACAGAAATGTGCTTACAAACTGAGTATTTGTCTAGCATTTCTGCATAATAATATATTTGACATATTATTGCATTTATTTTTTCCCCCCTAATAGGTAAAATGCTTTGCCAGGTGCTGTATGTGAACAGCTAAAAGGAGAGCTAGATTAAAAACTCACTTAACACTGCCTGGTCATTATGCTCATAGGGATTAGTACAGCAGGTATGGTATTGATTACTGTTTTGACTAGCTAATGTGTTTAATAAGATTTCTCAGGGGACAAGTAGGTCTAAATTTTTGCTCTTCCTCTACTCATTCCCAGCTATGGAGCTTTTTGTTATCCCTTATAATGTGCCCTATTTACTCAACAGGGGACAAGCTAAACCTATGTTCGCTCAGGCCTGCCTAGCGAATTAGAACTACTCCAGAAATAAAAGTTCCTATTTTGGGGAAATCTGAAACAAACAGTTTTCAGGCTCCAGATTCAGCTGAGCTTGCAGCAACCTGAACAAACCTTAGTTTTAGAAAACAGTATATACGAATTGCAAAACTATACTTTACAAATGTTCTCTGTGCTCCTTCAGCAGAACAAAAGGACAGAATGGGTTGATTCTTTCCCTGGTCTTCTGTATCTCTTTTGTGCAGTTGGTTATTTATAAAGAGATAGAAGATGAAGAAGATGCATTCTGTCATACAAAGACTTTAGCCAGTGCATCAGCCCCGGCACTGGCTATATAGCATTTGGATGGGTGGAAAGCTACATCATGAATAGATTCTTCAAACTTTTTCCGATGAGCTGTGAACTCCTGGATACATGTCTTACTTTCTAGGTTCCATAAACGTATTGAACAGTCATGACCTATGTAAAAATAAATAATATAAATAAATAAATAAATTGAAAGGTAAACTACATTAACATGAAAATGACAAAAATAAATAAATTATCCATAGCTGATGTACTTACTGCCAGACATCAAGTACAGGCCATTAGGATCAACTGCTAAACTTGTAACGGCTTCTAGGTGGGCTACCATTGAGTGGATCAGTTTGCCTTTGGAAAAAGAGATTGTTATTCTTTATGAATATCTTTCTACAAATATACGCCAGTTACTACGTTATATACAGGTTTTCCAGCAACGTAAGTACCCTCTCTGTGTGCTTACTGCATCAATAGCTTTTTTCATTACTTAAAACAGATCGCCCTCTCTACTCTGGCCATGCTACTGATGAGAAACAAAAGCTCAAATTCCAGATTATGTTTTTGTCTTTCAAATCACAATATAAAAGTCAGTAATTTGTACACAGATATTCCTTTAAGCCATGTGCATCAACTAGAACTCAGACATTAACCACCTACTTTGCATCCTTTAGCTACAAGCAAATTATATGGATTGTGGGAACAGAAGAAGAGACTGATACAAAGATAAAGGAACAGAGAGAAAACTGGCCACAATTTTGGTGGAGACAATATATTCCAGAGTTTGATAACATTAAGTCACTCACAGCTAAGTAAAGTCAGCAAAAGTCAACATATTTACAAGGCCAACAGTGGGCACTCAGGTAAATACGGCTGGTAATACAGTGTTTTCGCCCGGCAGAGCTCTTCATGAATCTCCTTTAGACTAGTGAAATGTAATCCAATAAAAAGTGGAAAAGCCCCAATTCAAATAAATCAGGACCAAATAGTCAGTATTATAATGTGAAAAAGATTAGTCCATGTAAAAACAAATAAAATATAACCAATGACTTGGGGATTTTCCATCTGAACACTAAGGCTATTCAAAAACCGAATAATTTCAAACAAAATATAATCATCATATATGCCTCTACTCATACTTTCTACCAGTATATTCACAGTAAGAGATCATTTTTATTGGTATTTGAATAAAATTTTCATTATGTTCCTACTGATAACCTTGACTCTGGAGCAAAAATATAGCATGTACTTAATATTAAATAAACTAAGATAATTCTATATGCTATCACAACGAGTAGTTCTCAGCAGACCTGAATGAAATGAACAGAAATTGAGCTGGGAGGGTACGCACATTTCAATGCCTGTTCCCTGATGACAAAGCCATGGACAGATACCAAAATCGGCCTACATCGAGTGAAGACTTTCTTTTTGCTTTAATAATAATCAATTTTAAATACATTCTTACCTGTATTGTTATCATAGAATTTGATGTGCCTGTCCTCATGAGCAGTGATGCTGATGGGAAGAGTGGGGTGACTAATGACTCTATTTATTTGGCAGGAAGAGTTGGCTGCTAAAAAGAAAAAATTAAAAACAACACAAATTAGTCAAAGCTACTATTTCTTCACACAGAAGAGAACTGAATACTCTAAGAGACTGAAAAAGTAAATTATGTCACTTTAGTTTGTTTTTAGTTTATTCTGAAATTGTGTTCAAAATTTTAATGTTAGGAAATGAGAGCTGCCAGAGCAATACTATCCTGAAAAACCTAGAGGTACCACCTGCTATCTACATTTAGCAACTGCAGCCTAAAATGTAATTGCCTGGATTAAGAATAAAGAAGCAATGGATTAAAAAAAAAACCCAAACAAAATAATTCTGTGATAACTTCTTTACAACCTGAGAAATTATCTCCTGGCTTCCTGTATCCAATAAGAAGCTTCAGATTTGGGATTTTGAGAGGTACAGCTTAATCTATAGTCTAACCAGTAAGGAGCAGTGCCAAATTCTATCATTAACATAAAGTTAAGTTGGTTTAAAAAATATTATGAGAAATGCCGAAACCGGTTTGGCTCAGTGGTAGAGCGTTGGCCTGCGGACTGAAAGGTCCCAGGTTCGATTCTGGTCAAGGGCATGTACCTTGGTTGCGGGCACATCCCCGGTTGGGGGTGTGCAAGAGGCAGCTGGTTGATGTTTCTCTCTCATCGACGTTTCTAGCTCTCTAGCTCTCTCCCTCCCTCTCTGCAAAAAATCATAAAATATATTTTAAAATATATATATATATATATATATACTATGAGAAATGAAAAATATTTTTTATTCCAAATAAATATTTTCTTCAAACAAAATAGAAAACTAATCATTAGGCATAAAATCAACTTGACTCCTCTTTGGAATAAATAGATCAAATGCTATTTCAAATAGTCTACACTAATAAAAGAAATATGCAAATTGACCATCACTTCACAATGACCACCAGCCAATCAGGAGTGAATATGCAAATTACCCCAACAAAGATAGTGGCAAGCCCTGCCCCCCAGCTGCTCTAGGCCTCTGGGTAGTGGCCGGGCAGGGTGGGATGCCTGATATGAGGGGGAAAGCAGGTGGCGGAGGGAGCTATAGAAGCAAAGACTGAAGGCAGTAGCCAGAGCAAAGGCCTGGCTCCTGGGTGCTGGAAGCCATGGGAAGGAAGGCCTATTGCATCAATCTTCATGCAACGGGCCTCTATTATATTGATAGTTATAAATGTGCATAAACTTAACCCAAAGATTTAAAATCAATCGTAAGTTATTATATCCTTCTAACTAAGCAACTATGTTCTGTGATTTAGCAGGCTGAAGACTTTAGAATGACAAGCATTTTTCATAGTCAATTCTTTCATTATGATGAAGACTATTTAAAGACTATTATACATACTCGTATCTAGATTGGATTCTAAAGTGAGAATGCGTTGTTGTGTTTCCATGTTAAAGATGCTTGTATATCCTTTGCTGAATGATGCTACCATAAGGCTCGGGTCACTGCTTACTAGATCCACAGAGGCAGGGATTCCATATTCTAAAAAAGAACATAATTAGAGGGTCTACTTAGCAATATTCTTAAAATATAGTAAAACAAATAATAGCATGATTTCTCTGAGGAGTAAGGCTCAACATTAGGATAAAAATGTGCTCATTGCCATTCAATGGAGATTATTTCTTTTTTTTCTTTTAGCCCTAGCTGATTTCGTTACTCTTACCTGTTCAGCACATCTTCTACCTGTTACTCAGCTAATACATAAATGGAATGCAAGCCTGTACTCAAAAAATAAATGAAAAACATGTATGGACTACAAGTTTTGCTGCTTCTACCTCAACCTGCAGCTTAGAGCGGCATCATTGGACATTCTTCATTTTAAAAGCCCATCTCTTAGTAGGAATTCTAACTCATCAAAAATTTAAGAATTTAAGATGTACAGCTCCAAACTGTTACTGATAATCATGCAAATATTAAATGCAGGCAACTTATCAAAACCTAGACACATTATCACAGCTCAAGAATAAAGAAGGTATTTTTATTTATCATCTATAACTGGTAAAACTTGGTTAAAATTTGAAGCTTATTTATAAACATAAAAAATAGAATATGTATATATGAATATAATCTGATTTTTCCATTTGATTCAAAATAAAACAAATAGTTTAAAAATGTGTATATTACCGAAGATATATTAATGGCCAATAAGCACACAAATAAAGTGCTCAAAAGAATTAGCCACCAAAGAAATGCAAATTAAGTCACAATGAAACACTGCTACATATCAGAATGACTAAAATTAAATAGTCTGACAACACCAAATGTTAGTAACTAAGGATGTAGAACAACAGGAATCCTCATACATTGCTGTCAGTGGTGTAACATGGCATAACCACTCTGGGGAAAAGTCTGGCAATTTCACATAAGGTCAAACACACAATTCTACTTGTAGGTCTTTACCCGCCTATAATAAAAACATAGGAATGTTCACAGCAGCTTGTTCAAAACAGTCAAAAACTGAAAACAATCCAAATGTCCATTAAGAAGTAAATGAGTAAACACAATGTGGTTTAATAAAATACTACTAAACAATATAAATAAATTATTGATACTTACTACAACATGGATGAATCATAAAAATATTGTTGTGAGAGTAAAAGACCAGACATAAAAAGAATACACATTTTATGATTTCACTTATATGAACTTTTAGAATAGACAAAACTAATCTATGATGAAAGAAATCACAACAGTGGGTACCTGTGTGTGGGCATGGGGGAAGGGGATGGACTGGGAAGATCATAAAAAAAGTTTATGGAGGAAAGTAAATGTTTATATCTTGAAGTAAGAGTTATGCATTTGTCAAACTCATTAAAATGTATCCTTATAATTTATATACAGTAAAAATCAGATTATATCTCAACCAAAAAAATTTTAAAGATGTGTTCTTTCACCAAATACTATGTTTTTAAAACTTATACATAATAAGTTGAAAATTCAAATATATGTATTTTCACAACTTCAGAAACCTTTCAAATTAAATTTAAACAGTAAAAATGTATGGAATCATTTATTTATTTGCATGTTTGTTTTTATAATAAGACATAGATAATTTAGAATTTTATAGAAGAGTCAGTGAAATGATTTTAAAAGTATGTACCTTGATTATCATTAAACACACTTAAGGCCGGAGCAACCTCAGTTGTGTTCCATAGACGAAGAGTGCCATCTGCTGAGCAGGACAGCAAACGCTGGTGCGCTGCACTGTAAGCCAGACCCCAGACTGCGTCCGTGTGGCCGAGCAGAGGGCCCCTTAAGACAGAAGGGTCTACAGGAAACAGCAAGAAGGCAAAGTCAGGAGAAAAGCAACTTAAAAAGACTCTTAGAATCCGGAGAAAACAAAAGGACATGATAACAGCATAAAATATGCTTCCTACTGTCTAATTTTTTCTGAAATGCTACAATTAATAATAGGCTTGAAAATATGCAAATTTAGGGTTTAAAATTTAGAAATTAAAATGACAAAGTACACATTTTTCTATTTTAAAAAATTAGGCATTTCATCCTCCCTCCCTTTTTTCTTCCATTTGTCTAGATATTTTACTTAAAGAGCATGTTAACACACATAAATCATCTGAATTTAACTACTTCAGAGAAAGCACACTCACACTCCCTGAGGAAGTGGAGAGATCCCCCTCCTCCTCCTCCTGGAGCACTGTGGATGTACTCCTCAGCCACTATCCCACAGCGCCACAAACGGCCGTTATTCCTGGAGCAACGGGCCTCTGACATAAAGGACATGAACTGAGACCTCCAAATTCTCAAACAGCAGTAACTGACATATGAATGATATGCAGGGGGGAGAGGGAGGGAGCAGGCAGGGAGATGGTTACTTAGCACTGTTTCATGATAAAAGTCAAATTGGAAATTATTAATCCTCACCTTCAAGATGACTCACAGAGGTTAAGTGTAAAATGTTACTGTTGTTATCTGTCCTATATCCTCTCTGTCACATCCTAAAGTACTTATTAAAGACATACTATGTGTTAGGTACTATGCTATATGCCAGGGCCACACAGATGATTAAGACATAATACCATCCTTGTCCTCAAAAGACAGTGTGACAAGTACAGTAATAGTGACAGAAACCAGTTACAGGGACAGTAACTGGGAGAATGACACCTAGAGTGAACAGACGTCAGCAGGCAAAGAATAGAGTCGTCGTTCCTGGTAAAAGAGGCAGCGCCTACAAAACCACAGAAGGAACAATAATGTAATATGTGAGGAAATAATCAACTTAGAATTACCGGAGTATGAAGTTTGAGGCAGGAAGTAGATCAGATGAAGAGTGGCTAGTTTATAGTGAGACTTCTATGACACATTAAGGCGCTTGAGAATTACCCTAAAAGCAGTAGGGAAGGGTTTCCCAGGGTCAGCAGGGTGAAGTACCTACTTAATACGGTAACTCTGTAAAGAAAACAGTCTAAACAAAATCCAGATGAAGCAAGGGGACTGTCTCATTAGACTGAGAGTGATGATGAAGACCCAAGCAAGGGCAGTGGCAAAAAGGAAAGAGCAGGAGTAAATTTTTTAAAAAATATTTAGGAATGACATAAAAAAAGACTAAGTAATGTTAAGATGTGAATAGTAAAACAGGAATCAAGGATAATCTGCAAGCTTCTAATTGGGGTAATCCTGTGTAGGGGTGTCGAACTCAATCAGAGAAGGGGCCAAAATCTAAAATCCAGCCTAAATCGCGGGCCGAATGGTTTACTGAACAGTCATAAACTGTCATTGTGATGGAAACGCAGCGGAGTGCAGTGATGACAGCGCGGTGCGGGCCACATTGCAAGGCCTGGCGGGACGGATTTGGCCCGCAGGCCTTGTGTTTGACACATGTGCTGTAGAGCCACCAACTAGTAAGTAGTATATGGGAGAAGAAATACAGCACTGAAGAGGACTTATGGACAATGAGACAGACACTTTAACATCTTCTAAAGGCAGTCTGACGCTTAAAGAGAAGACTTATGAGTCAACAGCATATAAAATCATGGCAGTGGATTCAATCTAAAAAAGAATATGTGAACAATGTAAAGAATGAGCTAGGGCCTGGACCTTGATGAAGGCCAATATTTAAGATAAAAAAAGAAAAGAAGTTTATGAAGGATAGGGAAGAGAAATTGTCACAGAGTTACATGTCAAAAATGCCAATAATAATTTTAAAAAAATACCAATAGTGGACAAATTTAAAAGAGGATGGAATGGTCCACAGTTTCAGAGAGCCAATGCATCTAGTAAAACAAGGACTGAAAATACCCTTGGGATCAGAATGAAAATCTTGTTCTCTTAAGTGGTGTGAGCAGAAGATGGAATACAAAGGGAGGTGGTGCCCCGGGAAAGGACATGGAATTAGTACCTAGTGAGTGTGTTTTCCACCATCACAGACACACAGATTCTGTCTAAACAGAAGCCAGGGAGGGAAACAAAGCCAGAAAAGGCTTCCCCTTGCTCAGGATGGGGGGATACCTAAATTTATTTATATGGTCAGGGGATGAGAAGAGAACAAAGAGGCTTAAGATGAGAGCCAGAGAGACTTGGGGTGGAGAGTGGGAGGAGGGTAGCATGTTTCAAAAGAAACAAGAGACAATGGGGTCAAGAGCAAAAGCAGAAGGGTTGGCTTGGGACAGAATGAGGACAACTGATCGATCCCCTATTAGATAAAGCAAGTAAGGAAAAGCATGAAACACATAAATAAGCAAGAGAATCAGGGAGAGAGAGGAGGTTCACCTCTCACAAAATATACGTTACATGCTTATTAAATAAGTGTTGGAAATTTTTTTATTTATTGAATTTCTTATCTTTGGTTTGGTGATAACATTAATCTAAAGTAATAATGAAAATAAAATATGGTTTAATGGTAAATATGACACCATTCTAGAATAGAAAAAAAAACCAAAACAGTCAATTCCTAAACCAGTTTTTACAAGGAATTTTAAGGTAATAGCTAGTAACAGATTATAATAAGGATTTGTGCCTCCTGGCACTTCCGAACTTATAATTCCTTTCAAATATTTTGGTGCCACAAGTCATTAGCCTCTATGCCCTTCCATAATTGATCAAGAAGATGATGCTAAATGCATTTTCCTTCAAAGTTCTTTATCAGAATAGAGATGAAATATGATTACAGATTAGTAATAATGTGTCAAGTACTGCTTAGATGCCTAAAATGACAAAAACAACTGTCAACCAACCCAGCATCGCCCATCAATAAGATTTTGGGTGTTGGGAACTATTTTCTCAGGAAGAATACTTTTTTTTTTTTTACATTATATATCAAATTGGTTCTTAAATACAGGAGTTCTTTTGAACAAAGATATAGTTCTCTTTTATCAATTTATTTTTTAAAATATCTCACTTTCTCCTTTAATGCTATGTAAAATGTGTAAAAAGAAAACATTTTATTCTTTCCTATCTTTGGAGACTCACATACCATAGGAGTCATAGGGGTCGATGTTGGGGTTGGTCGTGTTCCAGCCCTGGATCAGCCCATCCGTGCCACCACTGTAACACTGCTCACCGTTGCTGCTCATCACCACACAGAGCACTGGACCTCTGGGAGACAACAATCAATTTCTAGTCTTAAAAAGAATCTGGTAATAAGACTCACGAAAATTAAGAATACTTAATTTTTCAAATGGCTTTCTATTTTTCAGCTCTGTACAGTGAATGATACTATCAAAGCATAGTTGATTTTTCTTCCTTTGCTAAACCAAAGGTTGGTAGACTATGCCCTGTGGGCCCAAACCAGCCAATGGTCTGCTTTGGAACAGTCTTCAAACTAATACTGCATCTTACATTTTAAAAAGGGTTATAGATCCAAACTAAACTAAAACAATAAAATAAAATAAATATATAGATATAGATATATATCTTGCAAAGCCTACAAATATTTACTATCTAACCTTAAAGTATTGTGGCCCTAGACAGTTTGTCTCAATAAATAGAGCGTCTGCGTGCAGACTGAAGGGTCCTGGGTTTGATTCCAGTCAAGGGCACATGCCCAGGTTGCGGGCTCGATCCTCAGCAGGGGATGTGCGGGAGGCGGCTGATCAATGATTCTCTCTCATTATTGATGTTTCTATCAGTCTTTCCCTCCCCCTTCCTCTCTGAAATTAATAAAAATATATATTTTTTTAAAAGTATTATAATCTCTGTGTTACAAAGCTTAACAAAAAAAGCAGTCTGTGATCACAAGAAAAATATTCTTGGATATTTTTATGTAGGTTATCTTTAAGTGAAAAAAAAGGGCAAGATTTCTAATATTTCAACCTAATTGCCTCAACTTTCTTTTAAGAAAGATATAAGCATTATTTAAACATCATGCAAATAAAATATAATTTCAGCAAGAATTCCTATTTGGTAGTGATAAATTATTTTTAACATTATCTGCCCATTTCTTTTACAATTACAAAAAAAGCTACTACATTCAAAAATACATAACACAAATACATAGTGAAAGAAAATAAAAAATATCCCAATCCAGCTGATTAATAATGATGTTTATTTTTTTAAAAAGCACATACTTACTTATGAGCCCTGAATGTGTAGATTGGCTCCACATCAAGAGATGTGCTCCTAAATCAGAGAGAAAAGACGGCGTTTACCTCTCTAAGTCTCAGCAGTAAACATTATTACTGAATTACATCATAAATTCTGGATTCAACTTCCAGCGTTGTTAGGCAAATTATTTAATCTTCTGGAATTTCAGATTCCTTTATGTTTAAAATAAAACAAACAAAAATAGTGATAACACCAAATGTGATTCTGCAAGAAAAACCGTTTAGGACAGGACCATGCACTTTAACTTCCTGGTATTTCCATGCGGGTTACTATGTTTGTCCTTAATACTTGTAGATACTGTCCAAGTCATCAGTTCATTCATTACTCAGAATACTGAGTGTATGAGTGCTCTACAGTGCCTAAACTAGCCATGACTTTTGATGGGTTTAAAGTCCATATTCTACATTGTATGCAAGTTTTTAGAGGTATATGGCTCTCTCCTCGAGTCATTTCCAAAGTTTCAAGTTCAAAGATGAACAGGACACTGTTATTTATAAATGAAGGTATTATTACTAAGCTATCATCAATAAGAAATGTGTTTCAATATTTTTCTTAAAATTTAGTCAAGAATATATGATGAAACATTCATATTCTCTAGTCCAATGTTTCCCAAACTTTTGACATATGTGTACCCCTTCTATAATTTTCGAAATGCTGAGTACCCCTCGTACTCATGAGAACGTAGAATTAGGCGCAGCTAAGCACGGTGCAGTGCATATCCCCACCAAACTCTGGTGCAACGCGTACCCCCACCAAACTCTTCCCCTACCCCTGGGGGTATGCGTACCACACTTTGGGAAACACTGCTCTTGTCTAATGTGATGCCCACTGTGACCAAAGAACCAGAACTAAACAGAAGTATTTTTTTTATGCTGAAGATACATGATCCAAGTGAGAATTCACTTGGTTTTAGCAAGATATGGTGTAGTTGATAAATACTGATAAATCAAGTATTTATCTAGTCTATATATTATATATGACTCACAGCAGGAATGTCACTGATCTCTTTTAAATGGGCAATAGATATCCTCTACCAATAATAAAACTTCTGTCATCTCCTCCATTGAATTCATTTCCACTCTTCCAATAACAGAAATGCCTGACACTATAGAAGGGTCACTGCTGGCAGATGCTGGGTTCTGGACCATGTGAACCAAGGAAGAAAGGAGCTCCAATAAGGACCCCAATAAGTGAGATTAGGACTAGCTTTGTGACTGATAAAAGGGTCTGCACCAACTCGTGTCTGTCCAGGTCTAGAGAAAAACCAAGGGGGCCAAGGCTAGCAGGTATTCGATGGCAACAACACTGCCTTTCAGTCTAGACGTCTTGGCAGACATACTGAAAATGTGGAAAGTATCTAAACATAAAGACAAGGCCAAAGAGGATCCCTCCTCCCCTCCCTTCCACTCCAAAAGTCCAAAGCTTGTGAACAACGGAACAGATTGAGGTCCAAGTGTGATGATCATACAGCCTATACCTATTTACAGCAATAGAACTTCCAGTACATTTAAAGGGCTCCCAAACATGACAAACATTTAAAATATTGTATAAGGACTGCAATCAGGATTTCTGGGAAACCAGATCACACCATTCCTCCCTAAGTGTCAGTTTTCTAACCTAGTATTAGACTGTGAGTATGAAGGGGAAAACACTCTAAATTATATGACATGGTGAAGAAAGAAGAGATATATGAGAATTTAATAGTAAATAATAAAGTCAGTATTTTTCTGCTGAAAACCTGTTAATTAAAATATTCAAATAAAGTTAAAGTAGAATATTCTCACTTTTTGGCTGGCGCTGTTTTCTGTAAATTCCACATTTTCAACGTGTGATCTTCTGATGCTGTCATCAAAACGGGCTCAGTAGGGTGGAAAGCAAGGGCTCGAATGCCATCAAAGTGACTTCTTAACGTGAATTTAGGGTTCCATGTCTTCCTCAGTGCATCTTTATTATTTGCTATCTATTAAAGAAACAAAAGAAAAATGCTTATACATTTAGATCAGGATGGGGGGGGAGCTGTATTTCAACATTAATTCTTGCTGATTTATGAAACCATCACATTCTACAGCTTTCAAACAATATGATTTTTAAATGTAAATAATCAAATCAGTAAACAAAATGAGCAATATATCAACAGTGGTTTTCTTTGAAGAAATATAAGTACTATAATAAGAAAATAGGCAACAATCCAATACCAAAAAAGGATGAAATAATTTAAAAGAGTAAAATCAATCTTCACTAGGATGATTAAAAACAAGTAATTTCAACCTAAATTATTCATCCTAGTACAGAAACTAATTTTGGGTAAAAGTTAAAAAACCAAGTTATCTTTAAACATGTTAACATTATAAAATATTATACTTTTGAGCTTTTCAATACTCTCTAAAAACTAAACTTTTTCATCAAATTGGTAACAAAGTTTATGAACTGGAAACATAAAATGTTAAAATTAGAAGAGACAATCAAATGTTACAAAAATAGATTTCACTGATAAAACACACACATCACTGTGTTGTTTTTCTCCACAGACTCCATCTCAACAACTAAAAAATAAAAGCACAATGTTTTCATTCCAAGTGACAGGAAAGCTAACGAGGCTGGTCTATGACTTTGCACTAGCACCATGTGTGAACTCTCACACTCCAGGCGTGGCCAGAGGTCTAAGGAGAGTCTGATATTTGGAGTTTTTCCCAGACAGTGTTTACTGATACCAGTGATGGCTGAGAGGTGGAGCTGTGCTTCTGACTCCTCTGCAGTACAGGGGGATGCAAACTGGTGTCCAGGGACTGTCCAAAAAACAGGGATTGGTGAACTACCCTGCTTTGGGTTTTGTTTTTAAAGGGCTGCATCTTAGATATGAGAGTAAACTGGAAGTACATAAGCCCTTGTAGGGACTGCAGATTAGCTATACACAGATCATATCCAAACCTGAAAATGGGGTGAGGTGATATAGATTTCTAATGGCTGCAGGCAAGCGACAAAAGCAAATTAAAATATACTCTCTGGGGGAAGATACCATCCTAGGCCCAAAGTTATTCTACAGATAATTTTTCAAATATAGTTATTTGGACATAATAAAAGATAACTGTGCCCATATGAGATAATAAAATATAAATGGGGGGGAGCAGAAACAACACATAATATTAAAAGAACTAGAGTTTCTGATTCAAATTTTAAAATAATCATGCTTACTATGTTCAAGAAGATAAAAACGCAAAATTTACAATTTTGGAAGAAATCTATAAACAATGAGGAATTCTAGAAGCAAAAATATAAGACCGCAATCAACTAGTTTAATTACAAATTACACATAACTGAAAAGTAGTGAACTGGAAGATGGGCCATAAAATAATCTAGATTGAAGTATGAAAAAATAAAAGATGAAAAATACAGAAAAAGGAAATAGGAGACAGAGGCTATAAAAAGAAGATCTAACACTATAACTAGAGTTTTATTATGGGGGATAGTGATAGAGTAGTGTAAAGATAAATGGCTGAGAACTTACAAAGCTGATGATCTAAGAAGTTTAATAAAAAGAAAACTAAACCTTGGCTGACAATCAGGACATAGGGAAATATCAGTTCCGGGGGGCTGGAGGGGGATCAGACCACCATTGTATGACCAATAGAAATGACAATTAATTTTAGCAGAAAACAACAAAAAAGGACAATGAAATAATATATCTAGAGTGCTTAAAAAAAACAACTCTTGCTAATTGGAATTCAGTACTAAAGATAAGTTAACCCATTTGGGTGAAATAAAGAAAATTTAAGAAAACCAGAAACAGATTACTGGCCACCAGTAGATTTTCACTAAAGAGAAAATAAAGGGAAAGTGATCCCAGATGAACAGTCAGACACACAGGGAAAATGGAAAAAGGAAAAATGGATAGTGTAAACGGATAATACTAATTTAATATCAAGTGTACAAAGCAGTACCTTGTTGGAGATAAATATATAGAGAAATAAAATATATAACAAGAATGACATATACACAGGGTGTGAGTTTTGTCGTTTTTTTAATCCTCACCTGAGAGTATATTTCCATTGATTTTTTTGAAGAGAGTGGAAGGGAGTGGAAAAGGGAGAGAAAGAAATATCAATGTCAGAGACATTTGCCTCCTACATGCGCCCTGACCGGAGCTGGTGATCAAACCTGCAACCCAGGTATGTGCCTCTTTGACCAGGAATTGAGCCCTCGACAAGAACTTGCAACCCTTTGATATGCAGGTCAACGCTCTAACCACTGAAAATACTGACCAGGAAAAAAAAAAAAAAAAAAAAACGAAAGAAAAAGAAAACACTGGTCAGGGTGAGGGTAGTTCTAAAATAGAGTTAAGTGTTCAAAAGGGATGTGCATGTAATATTTTTTAAATATATTTTTATTGATTTCAGAGAGGAAGTGAAAGGGAGAGAGAGAGAGAAGCAATGATGATGAGAGAGAATCATTGACTGGCTGCCTCTTGCCCACACCCCCCACTGGGGATCAAGCTCACAATCTGGGCATGTTCCCTTGACTAGAATCAAACTCGAGACCATTCCTTCTGCAGGCCGATTCTGCAGGCCGATATTCTATCTACTGAGCCAAACTAGCCAGGGCTGTGATATTTTAATTGTAATAATAAAGGAGTAATACACACACACACACACACACACACACACACACACACACCAGCCTAATATGCAAATTGTCCCCAGGGGAGTTCAACCAGGAGACTGATCCATTGCTATGACATGCACTGACCCCCATGGGGCAACGTGGAATGAAAGAAGGCCCCAGCCAGCAGCTGGCAGCCAAGGAAGGGATGCCCAGGCTGGTAGCCAGAAGGCCCTGATCGGTCCTGTTCGCCAACCAGACCTAGGGACCCTAACTGTGCACCAATTTTGTGCACTGGCCCTCTAGTGAGTGTATAAACTCCAAATAATGGGGGAAGGGGTGAATAATAAAAAATTATCAATCCTTATATAGGCAAAAATAGGAGAAAAAAACAAACACAAATCAGTGGCACAAATAGATGGCATCCTTAAATCCAAAGATACCAGTCACTACTTTAAAAAGAAATGGACTAAAAGCTCCAATTTAAAAGTTTGTCAAGGATTAGATGAAAAAAAGAAGTCAACTAAATGGTGTTTAAAAGCCAGATACAGAACACAAGGATACAAAAACATTGAATAACAATCTGTATCACATATGGAAAAATGGAATGCAAGAAGTCAGTTTATATTGGGTTATTGTAATATATAACAAGAATGACATATGTATAGGGTGTGAGTTTTGCTGTTATTTTTGTTATTCATCACCTGAGGATATTCTTTCCAGGTGAAGAAAACGGACTAGGATGGGAGGTATAAAGAATCATGGATTTTAGCTGTTTTTGGACATAGAAACCAAAACACCTACTAATGGACTTAGCACAGAGAGTGTGAGTATTGGATTTCCAGGAAGAGGAGTGAGTGGTGAGGGTTCCTCTTTGGAATACTTTCTTATCATAGTCATGGTTTGCTTAGACATCTGGCCTACATCTTTCACGCATCAGAAACTACACTGTGTTCTCCAAAGATGATGAAGTAGCAGAGTCAGAGGATTTTAATGAAGAGATAAAATAGGTTGTACATAGTTTATGAAATAAGCAACTGTTTTTCTGACAATTTATTATGATGAACAATTACAAATGCATTTATAAAACAACTGTGTTTTGATTGCATCAAGATATGATCATTTCAATTTTGGTCCAAATCACTATGAGTCAGCCTTAAAACCTTCAGAGTACCCTCTCTCTTCTCAGCAGAATACTGATGTACTAAAAAAGCCAGACAAACGACACCTTTAGGCAGGCATGAATTTCAATTAATTACTGATGCCCTAAAATAGGGGTATCGAACTCAATCAGAGAAGGGGCCAAAATCTAAAATCCAGCCTAAATCGCGGGCCGAAAGGTTTACTGAACAGTCATAAACTGTCATTGTGATGGAAACACAGCGGAGTGCAGTGATGACAGCGCGGTCCGGGCCACATTGCAAGGCCTGGCGGGATGGATTTGGCCCGCGGGCCTTGTGTTTGACACATGTGCCCTAAAACATAAAACAAACCCAAACATAGTAATGGAAAAGGGAAATCCTCCCTTTATCTAAAACCAATTAGCTAGCTATAACTAACATATAGATTTCAGTAAAGCACATAATTGTTAATCCCTATATGATGTGGAAAGCATTTTTATCTTTAGAATATATTCATGAATAAAATTCTATACTTGTGAAGTTTTTCTCCTTTATTACCACCTTTTTCTATAAAATTAACTTTTTACTTTCAAAAATAAGTAAAAGCAACAAAAATAAAATGGTCACTCACGTCATACGTCAGCGAATCTGCTTCGTTGGCCACAGTAAGGCCTGCCAATTCTCCAAGCCCCAGCTCGTTCTCAAGGGCTTCGTCTGCTCCCATGATGAATGACTTCCCAGAGGAAGGAGGAAACGTCAGTGCTTCCACTGGAAGAAGACAAAAGAAACACAAAACACCTCTACAGAGTCAGTAATTAATCTCAGTAAGGGCACGTCTACATGTGATTATTTTAAAATGCTTTTAAACATAATGAAATTCAGTGAGCAGAAAATCCTGAAGAATTGTTCGCTTTTTTCATGTCATAATCATAGCTAAAGATATCATCTAATTAGAAAAATAAAACATGAAACAAACCCAATAGTTACTGTCCTTTCTTTTACACTGCACAGAAAAATTATGTATCTAAAGGAGTCAGTTTTCCTCACATGACAGTTCTTGTTAATTACCCAAATTATTTCTATCAATTAGTAAAAATATATAGCAAATAAATCTGCACACTGTTTGTCTCATTCAAATAAAACTGTTAATTCTATAACCTGGAGGAATGTAGAAAATTTCAAATGAGAACAGTACAACTGAAACATGCTGATATGAGACAAAACTACTATGTAGCGAAGAAATCAGGATCCCTCTGGAGAGGAGAGAAGGGCTAGTGATCAGAGTATTACTAGCAGGACTTCTACGGTCCTGGGCATGTCCTGCTCCTTGGCCTAGAGGCAGTGGTGACATGGTTGGGTTCACTCTGTAATAATTCACTGAGCTGCACTTTGGTGAGTTCAGCAGTTTTCTACAGGTATGTTATATTTCATTTAAGAATGCTTATTTTAATCAAAAATTCTTAAAGTGCCCATTTGAACACTTTTCTTTAGTTTCCAACTGTGCTTCAAGATGTCAGATTTATTTTGTGATAAATATAAATACCCTTACTTTATAACACTGGACATATACCAATCCAATCCCTTTAGTCACCATCACAGAAGAACCAGTTAAAAGAAAAATGCTAAATTTATTATATGAAGATTTTATTTAATTTGACCAATAATAAAATGACATTTTTTATAAATGCAGATTATTCTGACAAACTGTCAGAGGTGGTCACTCTAGTTTTCTATAGGTGGTTACTTTACTGATGAAATGAAATAATAACTTTGTGCTTTTAAAAATAGTAGTAGCAGAAACTCTACTGAAAAACTTGTAAGAACAAAGTGGAGTACAAATTAAGGTGTTTCACCATGCTTTAGTTATTATTAAAGCAGCAATAATACAAATGGGTTTTACCAAAACATACCCTATATCCTCTGAGGAAATTCAAAGAACCCTAAACATTTACTAATAATGAGGGGATTGTTTAAATTAGAAAAGCAATTTTCATGCCAAAATTTTAACCACAAGATTCATGCAAGACTGAAACTAGGTCTTCAGCCAGGTGTTTTGTTTTGTTTTCTAATATTTTCATATAACTTAATGCAGGTGTTAAACAAAAATTACTCTTACAAAAAAAGACAGATCTGTGGAATTTGACCACACATATTGTTTGGGCTAATTTAGTTAGTGCTTGAGAAATGGCCAAGAAAATCCCGAAAACACATAACCGTGGCTAAACTAAGAGCCTTGAGGGTTGAAGAGAGAAAGCAACAATAGGCATAACCTTATTTGATTGCTAAGATTTTTTAGAACTTATGACTATAATGCCTCCTAAGTATGGCACTGTCTCCTCAATTAATAAAATAAAAATAAAGAAATGTATATAGCACACAAAGGCCATGGAAGCTTTATCTGAAATAGCAAAGATGTTCTAAACTAGAATTTAGAGTTGGTTTTAAGTTTCTGTACCCCTTTTTACGTCTTAAAGATTGAAGTTAGAATCAAACCCCAGTGAATATAAGATAATCTACATTTGGGGAATGACAAGTATTGGTAGAATACAATTCTTCTTATAGAAAACCATTTTTAATAAGAATTTAGATATATATATATCCAAGTGCTTTTTGTGCTAGAGTGTCTTAAATACTCGCCTTCATCTGCTCTATTTATTTCATGTTCAGGAAGCCTGGAGCTGCTGGGTCTGGAAGGTGAACCCACAGATGGCTGCAATGAAGGAAGCTCATCAACATCTCTCAAATTAGCAAGCATATCTTGTAGTTTTGACCTATTGGGCCCTAGCCCAAAGAAGGGAGGGAGAGAACAAGAGAGAGGATATAGAATTACTCAACTGCATTAAAATGGTGCCATAAACTTTATTCACAACTGCCAACATTCATCTTTAAAGCTACCCTTCTATATTAGAAAGCAATTATTTTTCAAATTATTTTAAAAGTTTATTTCTTAAAACGACATATTTTACATATATTTTTAAAATTAAGCTAATGAAGTATCACTATGTGTATGGAAAAAATGTTCATGTTCAATGTCAACCATTAAAAATAATATTCTATTATTCGTGCATATTGGTCTAAATTCAGATAGACACCACAGACTGTGAAGCTACTGCTATATACCAAATTAAACAATAACATCACTTTTTGTTTGTTTGCTTAAATTAAGTTGCATTTATCGCCTGACACCGTGAAGCTATGGTACCCAAAGTGAAGTCTCATGCCCTGCTGATTACTTACCTGAAACTTGATTCTTCCTTCTCCCACATCCCTGTTTTGACTGTTTTATATAGGAGAGAGGCTGAAACAGATCTTCGGTAGTTTTTCCTGTTATAAGTTTAATTAAGAATGGGAAATCTTACCCATAGTCCGTTATGTTTTTTCCTATACCAGCATAAGCAATTTTAACTAATACCTAGAAATATATTTCAATACAGCATGACTGGAGTACACAATTTGACTGGAAATATATCTACTAGGATATATTTTAAAAATTAGATCTTTCTCAATGAGTAAATAATTCAATTAATAAAATATTTATAGATTATAAATTAATGCTTCACTTATCAATTCAAAGCTTTGTTTCAGTTCTGTTTTTATCGTCTTAACTTGTTCCCAGACTACCATTTATCTAGATAATATGAACTGACAATGAAAACAAAATGTGCTGAACCTGTCTATACCCTCTCCAGCTTCAGTAAAAGACATAAAAATTTTTCCTTATAGAGAGTCATTTTTCCTCATCATACTAAAAAACTTTATGCTTTATGCCTAAATACTGATCATAATCCCTACATTCAGGAAATAACTCAAATTAATAGGAATACTGTTCCAGTCAAATGGTGCAGTTTTAGATCTTAAAGTGCTAAATTTCAACTACAGCAATGCCTTGATATTTGACAAGAAATGAACAATCAATATAATAAATAATACATGGGTTCTACATAAGTCCTGAAACCGTACCAATTTAAAGATCTTTTACATTTCAAGACATTATTGCAGCATAATGACTTAAAGAGATATATCAACTTTAAGTCAATCTAAAAATTAAAATATTCTTCTTTTTCTCATATATGACATAAAAATTTTCCTTGAAACTTCAGTTTAAAGGGGTTGGTTATCAATCTATTTGGATAAATACAAATATTCTTGTTTTAATATTTATGTTGATTTAATTTAGATTGAGAAGACATCAAATGACATCATCTCTCAGTTATGTAATGGTTGGTACAATGATAATATCAATAATGGTCACTGACTTTTATCCCTTCAAGCTTACTTGTAAATTCTAAAATATTTTAAATAAACACTTAAATGTTTTCTATTAACTACTGGGTTGTAAAAGAATGTCCTAACAGAAGTGATTGGTCTTTGATAAGCTTTAACATCATTACAAAAAGAAAAAATAGTATCCTTCCAGTCTTCTACAACTTTCAAATACAGTTTTACTAAACTGGATTTTAATCTCACTTTATACTACTTTAATATCCCAAAGGATAAAATTCCTGTTGCCAAAAAGGGAGACCCACATTCATACTGTCAATAAGAGGAAGCACAAGGAGGTAGTTTCACCTTGTTCTCCTAAAAAGATGTTTAATGTTTTCAGGGATGTTTGAAAGCTTTTGTATTTCCACTTTACAGGCTTAACTAGAGCTATTGCTAAACTTTAATAGTTTGCATAGTGAATTATATATATGATTCACAGGGCTAGAAATTTAATTTTAGCTCTTTTCATGTGGCACACATTTTATTGAAAAGAAAAAAGCTAATTGGTAATGTTATAAATGGAATTGGCCAAAAGTTTTAAACTAATAAATACTTTTAGAAATTGTGTATTTGTGCCCTGTATAGCATATAATGGTGAAAGCAAATGAACTGTGTGTAATGAACATATAGAATATTCAGGGGTAGAAATTAACTTGCTCTGTCTCTAAATTCTAAAATTATAAGCAATAATTTTGGTGGATTGCCAGAGGGTCAAACTACATGAGATTTAAAATTGTCAACAGTGAAAAATCATGATTATAATTAAATACAAATGTTTTTAAAAAACAAATTATCACTATGTTTGAATATATAGTCCCACATTCTCATAAGGCTCTGGATTTATTATTGGGATATATTATGATTCCACAATAATATGTATAGTTTTTCTTTCTTCTTGTAGAAGTTCATAATTAAATAGCTAACCATTTAATTTCAACCCCCGAGAGCAGGTGAAAAGGAAAGAGGTCAGGAGTAGAAAAGAAAAAGAGTAAGTAGTTTTAGGAAAACATTGAAAAAAAAATTGGGGGATATGAAAGAGGCAAGATTTATGATTTACAGATACAATGTTTTCCACTTACTCTTCACCCCCTTTTTCCCCTTTCTCTCCTTTTTGTATTGTTCCTTGAGTTTGGTAATTACTCCCTGGTCCACATTCCAAGCTTCAGGCATGAGACACTGGTCTTCCTTTTCTAAACAAAGTGAAACAAATGAAACAGCCTTTTTCAATGAAATATTAAACACTGTAAGTAAATAGTTATGAATGACATAACTATTTTCTCCTTAGTATCATTAATTAAAAAAAACAAACATTAGCTATATGTCACACAAAATACAGTATCTAAGAAACGGTGACCAATTCAATTTCCTAGGTAATATTATTAAATTTCTCTTGAAAGAGACATAAAAAAGAAAGCACACACACCTGGAAGATGTGAGTGACTTTTAGTAAATTAGGCCCCAAAACACTATAATCAAGAACCCATCATTTTCTGAATTAGATTATGACTGAATCACAAAATTTTTTTATTAATTTACATAATGAGAGATTGTTAAGAGATTATACAAATTTAATTTTAAAAAAAAGAGATTATACAAATAGACTTCAATGATCTTCTCATTTGAAAAATTTTGTTTTTGGCATGTGTTCATCAACAAATGACCATTTTTATTTTATAGGACTTATAAGGAATACTTGAAAACTTAATTAACCTACATCTAAAATTTAAAACAATTTAATCAATCTAATAATCTCCTTAAATAGGAAACAAAGCTTCTAGTAAGAAAGAAATTACAATTACTAACTTTCACTATTTCAGGAGAAGAAAATTTAGAGAATAAATGTTACATATATTATACTTACTATAAAAAAATTTATATTACTATATAATGTCATGTGTTAGCTCAGAATTCTTGCTTGAACTCAAGACCCATAGATCCAACTGCTCATTCTACATTTCCCTTTGGAAGTCTAACTAGTATCTCAAACTAACCATACAAATCAGAATCCCAATCTTCCCCCCTGCAATCTGTTCTATCCACAGGATTCCCCGTTTAATTTGATGACAATTCCATTTGCTCAGACAAAAATCCTCTCTTTCTTTAATCCAACATCAACTATTTCAGGAAATACTGTTTTTTTCCTACCTTCAAGCACATCTAGAATCTGACTACTATTCGAATCTATACTACTTCCCTAACCACTCCCTTGCTAGAATTACTGTAATAGTTGTCCTCTCTTCCCACCAAGACTATTATCAAGACTGGTTGCCCTGGGTTCTTTAGAATCCAGAGTAATGCTTTAACATAAAAGTCAGATCTTGCCATCCTTGTGTTCAAAACCCTAAGTGATTTGGTCAGTTCTTACTATAATATATTTCCCTTAGAAAAACTCTGCTCCAGAAACTCTAGTTTTCTTGAATTCTTCAAGCATACTACGGCTGCTGTATCTTAGGGCGTGTGCTCTGGCTTTCTTTCCCCCAAACACTTTCTCCAGATCCATATGCCTATCTCCCCTCATCAACTTAAAATCTTTTGCTCACATGTTATCCTCTCATGATGCTTACCATGTACACCTTATTTTAAATTATAATGACCCCACACCCACTACTCTCTATCTACCTTATTCTGTTCTACATTTTCTATTTTCCATTGCATTTATCATCTTCTGACATACTATTCATGCACTGTGCTTAGTGCTTATATCCTCATACTAGACTGCAGGGACGACAGAAATAGAGCTCCTCATCTAGAACACTTGCCACACAGAAGGCATTTGATCAATATCTGATAAATGATTGGACTAAACAAAAGAAACCAGAATAAACAATAATCTGTCTATTCTTAACAAGTTCCAATCCACAGTTTTTAAAATATGGTTATTAGGCCAGTGGATATACTAAAAACAAACTCAAATTTCTTATAAACATAACTATAATCTATCAATAGTAGAAAGTCTCTTTTTCCAGAAAGAGCTCACAATAAAAAATGTTAATTTTCATTAACCAGGTCTTAATCATTAATTAAAATGGGTGGCTTCTGGATCCTAAAATGCCTTCAATTGTGTGATTTTAAATTAGTCTTAATTTTTTAAAAATAAAAATATTATCCTTATAATCTTAACTATACTTATAATAACAATGAAAGGTCTTAGAAGTTGTGAGGCAAAAATTTACGTGGCAGAAACTAACAAGATTCTTAAACCTAAGCATATTCACCTTTATAGGGGTGTGAGGAGGGATAAAGGACACACTTAAAATGGTTTAAATGTCCATTCAACTACACAGGATTTGCCATCTAGTTCTGTTAATTGCTTAAAAGTGGAATGCTTTGAATTCGTAGCAGGCTAGGTTAAAATGTACACACGGTCATCATATAATATGTGAGACCATGACTCACGCCTTAAAGCTAGGGAAGTTACATATGGGACAGTGCAACTGTATTTGGAGGAAAATAAATCCCAAACACCACTGCAATAAGAATGGCAGTGAAAAGGGCCAACTATTATTATTCAGATGTATGACTCCTTAAAGAAAGACCTTTGTGTAACACAGTGGATCTAGCTATATTGATAGAATTGTTGCCTGAAATATTTGAATAACTTGATATATAATCTCATCCTATACAATAAAAGGCAAATATGCAGCCGGGACCGGTTTGGCTCAATGGATAGAGCGTCGGCTTGGGGACTGAAGGGTCCCGGGTTCGATTCCGGTCAAGGGCATGTACCTTGGTTGCGGGCACATCCCCAGTAGGGGGTGTGCAAGAGGCAGCTGATCGATGACTCTCTCTCATTGATGTTTCTAACTCTCTATCTCTCCCTTCCTCTCTGTACAAATTTCAATAAAATATATTTTTTTTAAAAAGGCAAATATCCAAATCTACCAAATGGTGGAACGACCAGTTGCTATAATGAGCACTCACCACCAGGGGGCAGATGCTCAATGCGGGAGCTGCCCCCTGGTGGTCAGTGCCCTCCCATAGCGGGGAGCACCGCTCAGCCGGAAGAGAGCTGAGCACAGTGGCAGTGGCAGGAGCCTCCCCTGCCTCCACGGCAGCACTAAAGAGCAGTGAGCTGAGCAGTATGGAGCAGCAAGCAAGTGGGCCATAAGGAGCGAGGGCTCCCGGACTGCGAGAGGGATGTCTGACTGTCGGCTTAGGCCCGCTCTCCCTGATGGGCCCAGACTGTGAGAGGGCGCAGGCTGGGCTGAGGGACCCCTGAGTGCACAGATCTTTGTGCACCGGCCTTTAAGTTATGGAATAAGACAGAAGAGAGACTAATTTCACTTTAACTTCCTCTGATTTCCAAACTTTGTTCTGGGTAGGGGAAAAGGTCAATCACTAAAATAGCCATTATATTCACAATTATGATTTCAAGTGATTATCCCAAATAATTTTTCAAATATTTGCCATGAAAAAGAAGTGGTATTAACATTATGAGATCCCTGAAGGAAAAGGGACAAGAAAATATTAGGATAGTTACTCATTCTCTAACCTTTATCAGTCTTTAAAGTACATAGACTATAAACTAAGGGTGTTCTAAAATTCTTTAACCTCGAGAAAATTTTCTCTCATTGCAAAACACTTGTTTTATTAACTCCTGTTAGACGTTTAAAATATTAAACATGCTTAGAACAATTTACACACAAAATCTGATGCCTTTGCAAACTGACAAAACCTGACTGGAATGGTATTGTAAATTACGATTTTTAAACTTTACTTCTTTTTGTACCAAAGATGCCAGAGATGAGCTCTCTAAATCCTCTAATGCAGCAATGTCCAACCTTTTTCATCTCACGACATACACAAACTAATTACTAACATACTGCAGCACACCAAAATATATATTTTTTGCCAATCTGACAAAAAAAATAGGCATAATTTTTATTCATTAACACTGACAGCTTTTGCTGTGTTGGCTGTTATCATTTAGATCAGTGCCCCTGACTAGTTAGGCATTTTATGTTTTAAAAGTCCTTACAGCATACTTGTTGAAAATCACTGCTCTAATATATTGTCATATTCAATTTCCACAAAATCTATTGTAGATATGCAAGTTCTACTGACTAGGCAGAAAAAGCATTCTGAAAGTAGGTGAATTCAAATTATTTTTATACTGCAATCTTATACAATCTTCTTTAACACACACAACACACACACACACACACACACACACACACACACACTAGACAAAAGGTGATAGTAATAAAAAAGTTCACTGGCTCAACATTTCAACATTATGAGAGATTTAAAGTGTTCTTTAAGATGTTACCCTCCTGGAAAAAATATTCATTAATTTTCTTTACATAATGTCTCTGGTTGGATCCAGTATCCTTCCTTACCCCAATCTGTTCCGTCACCGGCACTTCTAGATTCACTGTCGCCTTCCTCTGATGTAACTAAGAAGTCGAACTGCTTTAGAGCTTCTTCTGTATCTCGATCGTCACTGCTCTCAGGCAATGCTTTTTTCCTAACAATCTATTGAGAAAACATGCCAAATTAAAATATATTATGGAAGTAATTTAAATAAGGGAGAAGCTACCCCTTTACCATTGACTGACAAAACCCAATTATTGTTTTCTGTAGAAAGTGTATCTTTGTAATACCCATTCAACAGTGGAAAACAGATGTCTCTTTAAAAAGTGTATACATTATAATATTATACATTTTAAAGTAGTAATTTAAATTTTGTTCAATGATTTATTGTTGTAAATAAACTAATGGAATCATATATTAAAAACACTAGACCATAAGATACCTATTTAAATTATATAGATAAAATACGTACTGTATTAAAAGAAACACAACCAAATCATATTTCTTGGATACAGTTTGTCCCAAAAAAGAAACCTTTATAAAACATTGCAAGAGCTTTCAGAATATAACCATGATCAATTTTAACTATAATGCATCATTCCCTTATAAAATTTATAATCACAAAAACTACAAACTCAGTAATGCATGCCTTAGAAGCTATTCTGTTTGTGGCAGGGGGGTGGAGGAGTAGGGAAGGAATTCCCACTATTATTTCTACTGTCTCAAACTTGCATCAATTTTCTCCAATTTATATATTCAAGTTTTTCCTAAAATATGGATGATTCAGAGTGAGACTTGACTTAGATTTAATAGCAAATCTAGTAAGGGCTGTAATATCTCATATATATATATATATATATATATATATATATATATATATATATATATTTAGGAATCTCATATATATATATATATATATATATATATATATATATATATATGAATCTCTAGAATCACAAATCCAGTTGGAAGATCAAAACTTAGCCTAATGCATGCAGAGATAATTTTTTATTTATTTATTAAATATTTTATTGATTTTTTACAGAGAGAGGGATAGAGAATTTAGAAACATCAATGAGAGAGAAACATCGATCAGCTGCCTCCTGCACATCTCCTATTGGGGATGTGCCCGAAACCAAGGTACATGTCCTTGACCAGAATCGAACCTGGGACCTTTCAGTCTGCAGGTTGAAGCTCTATCCACTGAGCAAAACTCCGGTTAGGGCCAGAGATGATTTTTTTTTTTTTTAAGAATACATTTTTATTGATTTCAGAGAGAAACGGAGAGGGAGATTGAAACATCAATGATGAGAGAGAATCCTTGATCAGCTGCCTCCTGCATGCCCCCTACTGGGGATATACCTGGGCTGTGCCCTGAATGGAAATCAAACCATGACCTCCTGATTCAGAGGTCGACACTCAGCCACTGAGCCACACGAGCCGGGCCAAAGATGATCTGTTAGATCTATATGTCAATACTTTTTATGTATTATCTCCTTTTTGGTCACCTCCACAACCAGAAGCCCAAACAAATAAGGAAAACAGGTTTTCAGCTTCTTTTGAAAAAATGGACTCAGTATCTCCACTTCTCCAGACCTCAGCTTCTTCTCTCCATGCAAAACAGAAATAGCATGATCTAATCAAACTTTATCAATGGACTGTTTTGAGTAGTTTAAACATGTAATGGTAAAACATACAGATCAATGGGACAGACTAGTGACTCTAGAAGTAGACTCTAAGAGATAACAATTACCTGACTTGGATGGCCCTGCTCTTATGCTCATGACTGATACCACTTGTCAATCACAGCATTTTTAATCTAAAACCAGATACATCCTCAGGAATCCTTCTCAATGCACACTCCAGGAAGCTACTATAAATAGAAGAAAGCTGGCACAGTGGATGAAACCTACTCTGCCTTTCCTGGTGTATATAAAAACAGAATAGGAGAAATCATGGATTCTTAAATAATGCTAGAATAATTGGTTTAACTATTTAGAATATTTCCCTAAAATCAAGACATACTATAATATTAATCTAAAATCAAAAAATGCTATAAAAATATCTGGAATCGTAAATTCAGAGTCTGAATGTATTTTCAACATTAGTTATAACTAAGTATTGTATTAAGTCACTAGACTAACTCTTTGGGGGGAAAAAACTGTTTCTAAGTCTCATCTCCTCTCTATAACCTAATAAAGAAGGGAAATAAATGGCAAGATGAAAACCCACTGTCTATCAAGTATCCCATTTAAATAAATAAACAAAAATTCCTGTATTTTTGCCAAAACCGGTTTGGCTCAGTGGATAGAGCGTCGCCTGCAGACTGAAAGGTCCCAGGTTCAATTCTGGTCAAGGGCATGTACCTTGGTTGCGGGCACATCCCCAGTAGGGGGTGTGCAGGAGGCAGCTGATAGATGTTTCTCATTGATGTTTCTATCTATCTCTTCCACTTTCTCTCTGTAAAAAATCAATAAAATATATATATTTTTAAAAAACTCCTGTATTTTTAATGGCGAGACATAGGAAAAAAGTAAACTGTGGTTACCAATGGAGAGTAGATTAGTAAATGGGAATGGATGGAGTTTATTGTAATAAGCATGTATTACTTTTCTTCCTTATATCTAAGGTTCCACCTATTCCTGCCCAGAGAAACAATAATCTGGAAATAATAATTTGACAGTCTCTGATGGAAGCAGAGGACATAAAGAACAAAGAAGTAACACTTAGAAAATACTTATAGTCAAATATATCATTTTCATATATATTATAGTGTCTCACATTCTTCACAAAATCCTCTGGGGATAAGATGGATGTGTATTATAATCCTCATTTTACAAACTAAACAGTTAAGCCTAAAGGATTAATAAGCACAGATAATTAGTAACAGAACTGGGACTTAAACCCAAGGCTTTTGACTTCAGGTTCAGTCTGCTTTCTATTACCTTACATTCCTCTTCTTAAATAAAAATGGAAGAGGAAATTTGATTATTTTCCTAGTCAAAGCAAAGCATGCCCTTATTTCTTACTTTTAAAAAAATAGGAAAAAGAAAAGGAGGCAGAAAGAAGAAGAGAAAGAAGGGAGTTGGAAAGGAAAAAAGTAGGGAGAAAGAAAAGAGAGGAGGGGAGAAGAGGGTAGGAGGGGATAGAATAGAGAAGGGAAGAGAAGGGAGAAAAAGCAATTTAAAGACACCTCTTAGTGTAAGAAACTACCAAGGGAGAGTCAATAAACTTATAAAGATGTAAGCAAAATTACAGAAAAATCCTAAACAAGCTTGAAGAAACCTAATGGAAGAGTTCTGAAAGTCTGTAGAACTTGTCTGCCAAAGCAGCCCTGACAAGAAAACAGCATCAATTCGAGTTGATGCCAGTCGCCATTAGGGACTATAATGGGTCTGCCAGTTCTATTGTCTTATAGCAGCGAATAACACTGCATTGTTACAACACACAATGCTTACCGTATTCACCAGCTCTATAGAAATGTTGAAATGTTTAATGAACTAACAAAAAGTCAAAAAATGAGGCCCTTAATAGAAAGCTGCTATACTAAAAATATTCCTGATTATGCAATAAATACTAAAAACTTGTATACTTCTTCAAATTCATAAAAAAAACAAAAATAAAGATAAGGTTTAGGTTGAAAGATATGTGTTATTTTTACACTACACATACGATTCCCTAAAAATAATTATATCTGAGTTATCCAACTCACTGTTGAAGTATCAATGACGCTTTTCTCTCGTCCATCAATGTCATCATCGTCGTCTTCATCACTGAAATCTGCAGCTGCACTTTCAGGGAATTTGAAATTATCCAGTACCGAGGCAGAATCTGTTAACTCTGATTTCCTGGTTTAAGACATGTACACTTTGCTCAGTTCATGTTTTAAACTCAACATAAGAATTAATCTGTAATATGATGCACTATCTTCTGCTTATACTGTAATCATGTTTCCTCAAATAACATTATGAATGACATTGATTCTTATCCATATAATTATAATATAGGAAGCAATATAGAAAGTGATTACTTTTTACTTTGCAACCCTATCTATTTAGATTAATGGTAATCTAATGTAAAGAACCCCTCCTGATTCAGATGTATTTTGATCCTAAGTTAACTTTTATGTATTTCTTCTTAAAAATATTTTTTCTCTCTGACAAACTTTATTCTTTTCCTCTATGCTACTCTTACTATTACACATAAGTTTCCATAACTAAAAAATAACTAGAAAATATGTCATTTTTCTCTGATGCAATCTTCTATTTCTGAACAGCTAATGAACTGAAAAAAGCAAATGTGCACATCAAGTTACTAAATACAATATATTACTCAAATCAACATTTCTACAAAACTTCATCTTATTAGTGAGCATAAACTTCTGGAAATGATTTCAAATATGTAAGATTTTAATTTAGCTCCCTAAAAATATATCTAGTAAACAATTTCCTAATGACCAGAAAGAATGATTTATCTCTAGTTCATTAAAAAATGTTTTAGAAACAAAGGTATGTCTGTGAAAAAATATAGCCACAACTATGGACAAAATTTTCAAGACAAATAATAAATTTCAAATCTGCAGGAAGCTACGTTTGAGGTTTTTCCACCTTATTCTTCACCTCTACATAATTAAGACATTCAGAATAATATCTTTGTCAGCTTCCAAAGAGAGGTCAAACCAAAACACAAGACAACTAGAGTGGTCCTTTCTGAAGGCCTTTATACTGACTTGAGTTAACCCTTTAGGTCAAACTATAAGCAATAATGCAGACACTGTCTATGTCTACACAAAGAAACAATCTACATCTCACATTTATAAAAACAACTTAATGTAGTTTTAATTATTAATGAATACATTTAAGAAGACTCCAATGACATCTGTTTACAAAAGTCATATTTTTAAACCTTTACCTAAATCTCATAATTTTAGTTTATGGTCCAGAGAACAGAAACTATGTTCTCACTAAACAGCGATTTTCATCCTTTTTCATGTCATGGTACACATAAACTACTAAAATTCTGTGGCACATCAAAAAATATATATTTTACTGATCAGGGAAAAAAAAGGGGGGGAGGTATAATTTTTATTCATTTACACTGCATGGCTATTGTTGTGTTGGTTGTTATCATTTTTTCATTTGACAATCTAAGGGAAAAGCCATCAATGCCCCTGACTAAATAAACAAAAGTGGCTAAGATAAGGTTTACTTCTAAAGGTTTACTTCTTAAAAATGTTTAACTAAATTTCCAAAATAAGATCTTTTATGAAGTTCTAATAGTAAGTCACTAAGCTTCAGGATATTAAAATCTGTATTAAATCCATAAATTTCAAGCTAATATCTTAAATAAAAAATATTCTTAAAATATCATAAACTCTAAAAAAAAAATCAAACTCTAATCACTGTTATCGTCTAATTTATTATAATTATTTCTGTAGCAGTGTCTAAAAGTGCAAGTGTCATAAATATCACCCATAAACCAAATATATTCAATAAAAACTGAAGTTATAGCTAAAACACTTTCCAGACAAAATACTTACCCAATCATTGCTGTATCTTTAACTTCACCTTCTGTGCCATTTATGAGTGAGTCCTGGTTTTTGTCATCTTCTCTGTCCGTGACATCACTTGAAAAGCCCAACAAAGCTCGCACTCGTTTGGACTTCACATCTAGAATAGTATCTGTGTAACCCACCTCCTGTAGATACCTGTGTATAAAGATGATCCTTACAATTCAGCCACACTGGATCAGCATTCCATAACTTAATACATTAAAAAAAGTATTTCTTTAAATCCAGTGCCTGCATAGGATTTAACAGACAAGTAACATGCTAGTACGACTTGCTAATAAATAATCTTCCAGCTGCAGATGGAGCTGTCTCTTGCAGTACCAGTCTCTACCGTCACTAAGAAAAATCAAACAACTATACAATACTCCATTCATTATATTATCATAAAAAGAAACTGTTTCTTAATATACCTAATAGCACATTCTTTCTTCTTGGCAGGGTTGGAGCAATCTCACTCTCAGATAAATTATTTTATGACAGTAGTTGTTATATTCAGCAATCTTTTTACACTTCTGATGTAAAGTGTCACCGTTTAAGATCTAAAGAGAATGTTTCTGGCTTACATAGTTTCCTCTATGATATACAATAAAAAAGTATAATCCAAAGAGTCACTTCTCCAGAAGGAATGCTTCTATTCTGGGACAAGTGTAAAATGAAAAATGTAGACCACAATTCAGTTGTGGAATGTGGGGAGAGGGGTGGCAGCACAGGATAAAAGAGAATAGGCTTTGGATTAGCCTAATTGGGTGTAAAGCCCATTTCTGCTACTTTCGTTGTTACTCTAATTCTGCTGACCTCAGCTTTCTTTCCCTTAAAAGAGATTCACTTAGTAAAGTGCCTTCCTCTCTGAAATCAATAAAAATATTTTTAAAAAATAATTAAATACTAGTGAAATCTCATTTTCTTTTAACTTCAAGTAGATTAAAAAAAAATAGATATTTGGAGACATTTTATTATTCCCTTCCCATCACCAAAAGGAATGGCTGGCAGGCATACACTTTGGAAATTATAGATTTAGAATATTCACAAGCGATCTCAAAAGTCCAAAACAAACAGCAAATTCATTTTACTAAGGCATAAACCTGAATACCAATTTCAAACGTGATATGCAAGGACCAAGTACTGAGCTGGTGAGTGGGTCTCGCCCACCACCTGACATCTGAACCTCAACCCAGCTCTGCTCCCTCCTTATAGTCTCAACTACCCCTTTCATAGGATAAAGTACATGTCAGTGCAATATTTGCAAACAAGGGGAAATAAAAAAATTCTTCAATTAATTAAAAGCAGAAAGCTTAAAATCACAAATTTACATATAAATACTAATTAAACTTATATTAAAACTTGTATATTCATGTATAAAAGATACAAACTTTAAACTATAAATTTAAGTGTATGTAAAATCTAGAAGCTTAAAGTTATACTCTTTTTAATGAATCTAAAATAATAAAATTATTTATGCCTTATAATTCTTATTAATATTTAATAATTTATAAATTCCAGTACAGGGGAAAAGTATTTAATATGAAAAAGAAAAAGTAATTCAATTAGCTTTTCACAGCAGCAGAATAATAAGGAAAATTATTCTACTGATTTGAAAATACAAAACAAAAATAATCTCCTGAAAATATCTGCTGCTTCTCTTTAATTTGACCAGGAGTTACTTACTGTCTGAGTAGTTGACGACCTTGTTTCCACATTAACTGGCTATTTTGTTGTGGTTGCACCTCTGTTTCATTACCTTCATCTAGAAAACATTAAATCATAATAAAACCAACTTGTCATATACATTAGAGGGTATCTCTAGTGATAAAAAAAAATCCAAAAATATTTATAAGATTAAGGAATATGTAAAACTGCACTGTAAGGTATGTTTCAGGACCATATACATTCTGTTTTTAAGTCAAATTTCCATAACAAACTCTGAATTCATTACTGCTAGTGGATTCCCCTCAGAGTTGTAGAACTGAAATAAAAACATTTTCCAAATCTTTAGGCAGCCTCAGAATTTTGCTCTAAGATCAAGACCTATCCACATCAAGTCACACAATAAGAGTCCTATAAAAGTATCTGAAGCACCAGGTCAAGTGTGGAACAAAAAATACTCGGGAATGATGGCTTTTAAGAAAAGTCAGTTTGATTAAAGAAGTGGATAGGAAATAATCTCATTCCAAATTTATACCCAATATGTCTAACTCCAGAGCTCATATATTTTCCTCCATATGCTATCACTACATCGATAAGAAATTAGAGAAATACATAAGTTTTAAAAATTAGATCTTACATTATCATTTTTCTCCTAAAATAATGAAGCAAAGCTCTGTGAAACACCATCTACAAATATCAGTACAGTAGACGGAGGGTAGAAAGTGTGGTCAGGAAGATTAAGTTAACCAAAAAAGAAAAATTACTTTGGGATAACTTCAGGGGGTATACTTTCTTTAAAAAAAAAAATAAATAAAAAAGCAACAGTCTCAATACTAAAGAAAAATGACACTAAACCACAAATTCACAAACTGTGGATATAATATAGTATGTTCCAATACGTCCCCTTAATAAGTCAAGTGAATAAATTGTACTTACCATATAAAACCATTTACATTAACATTTCAAAAAACTAAAATTTCAGATGTGAAAGAACTTTTGAGGTCATCTAATTTCCTAAATCCTTTCTATACCATCCTCAAATATAATCAACTGCCTTTGCCTACTCTAGCCAATGAGTGATGTTACCAAGGTGTGGTATATCCATTCAATGGAATACTACTCACCAGGAACAAGGGACCAACTGATGACATACACTCATATGAATTTCAAATGCATTGTGCCACGTGAGAGGAGCTAGAATTAAAAGGCTACATATTGTCTTTCAGGAAAAGGCAGGACTACAGAAGGAGAAAATGGATTAGGGTTGCCAGGAGATTAGAGTGTAAAGCAAGGGTGAGAAACATCTGACCAGTGGGCCTTATAAGGCCGTGAAAACATTTGGTCTGGCCCTGCCAAGGCATTCAGGGTGAGTTAATTAAATGTCTGACCAAATACAGCAGGCTAATTGTTAAGTTGATAATTTTGTATGACCTGAGAACGATGTTATATAAATATCCAAATCGCCTTTGGCAGAAAAAAGGTTCCCCACCCATCTTAAACAATTAACTTGTTCGTGATCTCAGAATCCTCAAACTTCTGGTGGGCAGGTGTAACGTGAAAATAGGTGGGCAAAGTTACTTCTCAAAGGGCTGAGAAGAAACTTTTTTACTTGCCTAAATCCATCATCAATTAAGACCGAAAAAATTGTACAAAGGAAAGAACGAGCACAGGGAAAAGCCGACGGAGTGCAGAAACTGCCTGCTGACAAGAAACCGCCAGCAGGTTCGAAGGGTTCTGGCGCGATTCTGGAGAGAGACGTCCGTGTGAAAGTTAAACTGAATGCATGTTTAATCACACAGGCCCCAGTGTGTGCGTGTTACTGCGAAGACGAAAGAATATTCACTGGAACCCTATTTGAATTTTTCTCAGCCCATCCCCTCAAGTGAGAGAGAGGTCGTCTCAGAAGTCCTAACATCCAGTACCTCTCAGATTGTGCTGTTTTGAAGGTGGGTCGTCAAAGAGAGAATTTAAGTTAAAATGAAGTCTTGAGGGTGGGCCCTAATCCAATGTGACTGATGCCCTTATAAAAGGAGACTAAGATAGCAGTTGAGTCGCTGCAAGAGCAAACTTATGGCCTACAAAGCCTAAATATTGCTATCTGGCCTCAGAAAAATTCTGCTGGCCTGCTTTACATCATAATCTATCTCCTTAGTCTTACTCACTTAGGCTCCTTTTGTCTTCACTTCCTTTCCTCTGGAGTTTTAGTTCGAAGTCTATCACTTCAACCATTCTTTTGTCAATGTACTCAATTTTCTTGTACCCTTGTTTTCCATGAATTCAAGTATTAACTATTTTCATTCTATTTAGCAAGTGTATAGACAAGTGCTTCTATATAAACTCATGTTCACACATGTCAACCAAACCCTTAGCTTTTCTTAATCCTACCATTTCTTAGTTGCTTTTCTGTTGATTTGTTATAAATCTTCCCTACGTTCTGTAAACCTCTCATACACTTCTTACCAGATAATTTTGTCTCAAACATAAAGCTATCATATTAAATACCACCACCAAACTGAAACCCTAACCTACAAACCCATCACCTACTTCCTATATTCTCTCTTGGTAACAATAAAAGACATGCTCCCCCTGTCATTTTCTACCTATGTTCAGAATCCAATCCCTATCACGTTTTCCGATACCTTCCTATGTTGTATGTCTCTATTTCTCCTTTTTATTTGCTCCTCCTCTACAAAATACAACTCTCACACACACTTCCTTCACCCTTTGTGTCCTGCCATCTATTACCCTGTAATCCAATCCCTCTTCCTCACCTTCACAACCCAATCTTCCTGAAAGTTGACCACACTTAGTCTTCATTTTCCACTCATGTCTATGTTTCTGTCCTCACCTCTCTTCTGAAATTACTTGCAATAAATTCTCAGTGATCTGTTTGTCACTAGATTTTTCAATTCTTTAGACATTAATCAGTAATGCTGAAGGGTCCTTACTCCTGAAAACCATCTCTCCTCTTTGTTTCTATTGGCTTTCCTCCTACCATTAGGACAATTGTTCTGAGTTTCCTTTTCAGGATTCTATTTTTCTACCAGTTTTCTTTAATGTTGCCATTCCTCAGAGTTCCATTTTAAATTCTCTTCTCACTCTGCATAAAGTCCCTGGGTGAGCCTTCCACTCAGATGTCTTCAGTGCCATCAGTACTATACGGTGGTGCATCTCAATCTGCATATCAAACCTATACCACTGGTCTAAACTCCAAACCTACACACCTGTTTACTAGCCACCTTCACTTGATTGCCTAACAAATAAACCTAGAAGTGAGCCCGCCATCTTCCAAACCTGTTTATAGTCTAGTTTTTTAAACTAGAAGTGTGGGAGTCATCTTTGATTCTCCCATTTTTTCATCCTCTACATTCAAACAAGAACCAATTCCTGCAGATTTTAGGTCCTAAATATTTCCTGAATACACCCACTTCTCTTAAACTCCGCTGTTAGAAGCCCTGTGTGGTAACCTTCCTCAGGGAGCCAGAGGCTGTGACAGTCTCCTAACCAGTCTCCCGAATTCCAGTTTTGCTACACTCTAACCCCTCTTCTAAGCTGAAGAAAAAATTTGATCACAAGAATCCTAATTAAGTTCTTCAAATGCCTTCTCATAACTCCTAGGATAAAGTGTATACTCCTTAACATATTTTACAAGACCTTGTAACAAATTTTACTGTCTCTTCCCCCCAGCTAACTCTCTAGTTATATCTATAAACATTAATTTTCTCCCTCCAAATACTAGCCAGTTATTTCATTTCTCAAATGTGGCATATTATCTCAGAAACTTTACGTGCAAGTGGCAGCCAAACTCCACTTTCCTGCTTCCCTTCCACTCTCTCTTAAAAAAAAAGGGAGAGAAAAAAAAAAGGAAGAAATATATCCTCAGGTAAGGATTAACAAAAAAAATTAATAAAATGAGAATATTATCTTTATTAAATAACTATTTTAAGAATTACAGTTAATATACATAAAGCCCCTAGTTCAAGGCAGGTATTTCAGTAAGTGATATAAATAATAGTTGGTATCTTCAGATATTTGATCTAGAAATTTAATCTGAAATTACATCAAAAACAAACTCACCTTAAAACATGGCAATAACTTTGAATAACTTTTCTTTCTTTTCCTTTACTTCTATGAATAAGTAATATCTGATTGTTTCCAGATACTATAGTTTTGTATTGTTTGGTGAGGTGAAGAAGATAGGAGGATAAAGAAGACATAATGCAAAATTATAATAAAACTAGATGCCTTGTGCACGAAATTCATGCACGGGGGGCAGGGGGGCCCTCAGAACAGCCAGCACCTTCTCCAATTTAGGAACCCCTCGAGAGATGTTAAACTGTCCATTTAGACCCGATCCCATTGCTGGCTCCCAACCGCTCACCTGCCTGCCTTCCTGATTGTCCCTAACCGCTTCTGCCTGCCACCTGATCACCTCCTAACTACTCCCATTCCAGCCTGATTGATGTCTAGCTGCTCCCCTGCCAGCCTGTTTAACCCCAATTTCCCTCCTCTGCCAGCCTGGTTACCCATAACTGCCCTCCCCTGCAGGGTTGATCACCTCCAACTGCCCTTTCTTGCAGGCCTGGTCCCTCCCAACTGCCCTTCCCTTCTGGCCATCTTGTGTCCACATAAGGGCAGGATCTTTGACTATATGGGGGCAGCCATCTTGTGTGTTGGAGTGATTGTCAATCTGCATATTACTCTTTTATTAGATAGGATAGAGACCTGGTGTATGGGTGGGGGCCAGCTGGTTTGCCCGGATCAGGGTAGGGGTTCCCTTGGGGTGTGGGGTGGCCTGGGTGAGGGGCCTGTGGTGGTTTGCAGGCCGGCCATGCCCCCGGGTGACCCAAGCAGAGGCCCTGGTATCTGGAATTTATTTACCTTTTACAATTGAAACTTTGTGGCCTTGAGTGAAGGCCTAGGCCAGTCAGGGCAGGTAGAAAGCTTTGCTGCTTCTGTTCCCGGGGCCAACCCTATCCTGCTCTCCATTTTTTCTTGGGCTTTATCTTTTATAATTGAAACTTTGTATCCTTGAGTGGAGACCTAGGCCGGCTAGGGCAGGCAGAAAGCTTGGCTTCTGTTGCCAGGGAAACCCAAGCATCTCAACTTGGGTTTCTGTGGCTGCAGCCATCTTGGTTGGGGTTAATTTGCATACCCACTCTGATGGTTTGATGGGCATTGATGATGGGTGTGGCTTGAGCAGAGTGATGGTTAATTTGCATATTACTCTTTTATTAGGTAGGATGTTTCAGCTGTTAAAAGATTATCTAATTACACTGTGATGACCAAGTCCAAAACAATTTTGTACCTGAAACTGAGGGATTAGGCTCATTGGACAAGGTATTCCCCCATACTTAAAGAAGAAATCTTTTACCTCCATAGTTCCTCCTCTTTCTCTTAGAATTTCAAGAGCATTCTGAACTTTGTACTGCACATATCAAAGTTCCCATTAATATTGGGAAGATCCAGTAAAAATCAGTTATGATGTATGTTTCCCCATAAATTCTGATCCTTTCAGTAAGTGTAGAACATAAGCAGAAAATAGGAAACTAAAGTAAAGGGAAGAGGATAAAAGAAGGAAGGTGGTGGAAAATGATCTAAATGACTCTACATGATTAGTGTCAAAAGATAAGTAGGTCAGAAAAAATAACTAATATGCAAATAACTAGAAATCAATTTGCAATTATAAATATCATAGCTACAAATACTTAATATTAACTTCTTTTTAATCACTTGAACTTCCTTTAAAATTAGCTTACCAGAATCATAGCTTGGAGGCTTCATATCTCCCTGATTCAATTCTGTCCCATATTTCAACTTGTGGTATTTGGCTCTAACAAAGAAATGAGAAAATACAAACCATCTTAAAACATATTTAAGTAAACTTTTAGATATTCAATAGCAGTCATCAGTTTGCAGTAGTCCTAGGTAACTTTCAAAGGCACATAGCCTTCTAAGATGTCAAAGTCATAATACAAAAGCATTTGCCATTACTGTTTTGTTGTTGGCCCATGAAGTGCTATTATAACAAATAAAGGACTAACTCTGGGAACCATACATCTTCTTTCTGTACTAACTAATGAACCATATTAACATGCTAGCTTTTGTTGTATTCAAATTTTCTTGATAACTGCCAGAATATTTTACTATCAAAAGCAGCAGCAGCCGGGACCAGTTTGGCTCAATGGATAGAGCATCGGCTTGGGGTCTGAAGGGCTCCGGGTTCGATTCCGGTCGAGGGCATGTACCTTGGTTTCGGGCATATTCCCAGTAGGGGGTGTGCAAGAGGCAGCTGATCGATGACTCTCTCTCATTGATGTTTCTAACTCTCTATCTCCCTTCCTCTCTGTACAAAAATCAATAAAATATATATTTTTTAAAAAGCAGCAGCAAAGTTTGGATTGTAAAATAAACTTGTAAAAGACCTTTTTCAAAATTGAGTTTTTTAAAAAGAAAAATCACCTATAATACTATCTTATCAGGCAATTATAATTTGCCAAGTATGCATTGTATTGAATAATCCAAAGGATGGAGGGGGAATCAGCTCAAATCATGAATATTGAATAAGATATTCCAGCAGAAATAAATAATTTTTTTTAATAGTCAAAGTATCCTTTGCCTTTCTTTGCAGGAAGAACTCAGGAAAAACTGTGAACAGGAATTCTTGTCTTCTCTTGCTATATGAATGTTATTATTTCTGGTTAGTCTGACTTAACCATCTCAGATTTAACCATCTGAGACCAGAAAAATAAACTAGATAAGGTAAAAAATTTTAAGATTAACTAAAAATGGACACACTTAATTTATTTGGGTATTTTAATTTGTTTGCTATTATTGAGGCCATTTATAAAAAATATCCAATATAATGAGACTGGGATAATAACAACCATTTGAAAACTTAAATAATAAAGAAGTAATGAAAGAGTAACATAGCCAGCCCTAGCCAGTTGGCTCAATGGACATATAGCATTGGCTCTCCAACTAAAGGGTCAGAAGTTCGATTCTGGTCAAGGTCATATGCCTTGGTTGCAAGCTCCCTGGCTGCATTCAGGAAGTAACCAATTGATGTGTCTCTCACATGTGGATGTTTCTCTCTCTCTTTCTGTCTTCCTCCCTTACACTCTTTCTAAAATAAAAATCAATGGAAAAATATCTTTGGGTGAGAATTAACAACAAAAGAGGAAAAATAATGTAGCCAACTCTGAAAGCTTTTTTTTTTTAATTATTTTTATCCTTATAAAAAACTAATTGAGCACTTACTATAAATTTTTTAAGTAAATTATAAAGAAAATGAAAATTATTTGCTCAAATATATAAAGTACTGAAATTCCTCATATTATTTTACAGTAATTATTTTGCAGTTACACACGAAAAGTCAATGTTTTATATAGAAGGGAATCTTAAGAAAACCTATAAAAATTATACACAGTTGATGTTCTATTTCTTAGGGTAGGTGGTGGGTATATCATTATTTTTTTATATTAGTCTTTATGTTCTGCATAGATAATAAAATGTTTTGTAATAATATGTATCCATTAAAAAGGAAAAAATATTTGTTTTCTAATATGGATTGATCTCTAAGCTTAAGTAAAAAAAGCAAAGTATAAAATACTATGTACATATGTGGTTTATATGTATGTTATGTATATTTCATATGCATTGAATATTTCTGAATACATGACACATAAAACATCAGTTAAAATTATTTCCTTTGGGAAGGGAAATCAGTAAACTGATGCAGAAGGGAAATTACTTTGTGTTATTTGGCAAATTAACCATATGTATATATGACTTTTTAAAGTTTCTTAGCAAATATTTTGTCCCAAATAATTTAGAACATTTTTTCTCTACCCCCAATGCTTCTCTTAATCAAAGATTTCCTCACCTTACTAAACTTCTCCTAGTCTACCTCAATGTCTCCGTATTAATGATATTATAAGAGGTTAAGATTTAGAGCCACTGTCTCAAAATAAAAATACCTCCCAGAAGTCACAACACTAATTGAAAGCAACTGGCTGAGGATAGAGAAGTAGCGATAACATTTTATGGAATGAATTTATATATTTTTGTTATCTGCATATAAAGAAAAACATTTTCAAACACAAAACAGTGCATTCTAGTATTCTTAGGAAAAACTGCAACAGAGCTACAAAAATGAAACAGAAAATATTATATGCAACATATACATCAAAAAATAATAAAACTATGAAATAACACTTCATAAAAAATTAGACAAAGACAAAATAAGTAAAGAAATGCTGTGTTTACAAGCTGGGTTCCCTTAAAATAATTTCATAATATCCAATAAATGTACTGAATTCTTATAACACACCAGGCCCTGTATTGGCTGCTGGGAACAACCTGCAACTTGTAATCAATTATAAGGGTAGAGGCAAGAAGATGCCTGAGGGGCAGAAACGTAAATAAATAACTACAGCACACTGTGAGTGAGAGCTCAGAATTATATCAACGGTCATATTAACTCAGAGAAGGAATTAGCTAATTCTGTCAAAGATGGTTTCAAGGAGACCTACCAAATAGGAGGTAACACATGAGATTTTAGCTAAAGTTCAAAATACCATCAGTTTCCCCACCAGACAAATGATCTGATATAGAGGGCATTTCTGTCAGAAGAAACATTACTTAAAGTTCCTCAAAATGTGTATGTGTGTTTGTGAAGTGGATATAAGTATTAAAAAAACAGCTATGTGTGTATGTGTGTGAATGCGTGTCATGTGTGCATGTATATGTATAGGACAAGCAAGGGGCCTGGATGTAAAAGATTTTACCAAGAAGAATTTTGAAATTAGCCAGATACTTTTAAGCAGGGATTTAATATTTGTGTTTTAAATAATTAGTCCAATGAACATGAAAATACCTAAGAGCTCTGATTTCACAAAGAAATAATTTATTACATTTTAATAGTGCCATTACATCAGGAATAATCTCAGATCATTCCATAAACTTCAAAAGATACAAAATCAGGGACTCTTTTCCAGGAAAATCCCATTCATTAAAAAAACATCACCACCACTTCCCTGGACCAGGCCAGTCTTTCTCCAAAGTCAAACTACTTGAAAAATAAGCGACTGTATCTGTCTCCACTTTATCTATCTTACTCACCCTTCCATCCCCTATGATCTGGTTTATGTTCCTGCTACCTCACTGAAGCTGTCTGGCAAGGATACCACCAAGCTCTTAACTGGCAAGTCCAAACGACTATTTTCAGTATGCAATTTACTTGGAGTCTGTTTGGCACTTGCAATTGTCAAACTCCCCTTTTCTTGCTTCCGATAGGGACTTAATCACAAGGAACAATAGCCTGTAATTTATTGGAATCTAGAATCAGGTAATATACTACTCTCTTCTTCCTCTCCAACCACTGTTTTGTTGGTTTCTCTTCCTCTGCCTTTGTTCAAACATTTCCATTTCTGTGACTCCTGTAGGTTCTCTTTTCTTCCCAAAATATTTGTTCTTCTTGTCTCAACTACTTCTATAACTTTACCCACAATATTGATGTATACATTTCTATCGATAGTTATGAGTTCCTCTCATATTTGCTTTAAACCCTTAATTCTTATCTTTTTTAAATTCTTAATTGTTATCCTTAATTCATTTGATAAGTTCCAAAACTCATACTTCAAGCCAGAACCCTAGGAATCTTTCTTAAGTTAACTTTCTTCCTCATCTCCTATACCAAATCATCTTCCAAATTATATAAGATACTCCTATTTAAAATGTTTCACAGCTGATGCGTCCTCTATTCCTGCAGCTACTATGCTATCATGTCTCATCCTTGACTATTACAATCTTCCTGCCTGTATTAACAGATTTTTCCAGTCTATTCCCCAAAATGAAGTAAAAATTATCATTCTAAAATCTACTTCACACTATTCCATGCTTAAAACCTTTCAATTGCATGACAAATGTAATATGTATTTCTAGACCAGAAAAAAAAAAACACCTATAAAAATCATATTAGAATTTTTGGTTAAAAAAATGTTATAAAGATCATCACTGAAACATATGAATATGGGTTTTGTTAGATAATGGAACTATATCAACATTAAATTTCCTTAATTTGATAATAAGCTGTAATTATGCAATGGAATGTCTTTGCTCTTAGAAAATATATAGGGAGGGCCGGGACCGGTTTGGCTCAATGGATAGAGCGTCGGCTTGGGGACTGGAGGGTCCTGGGTTCGATTCCGGTCAAGGGCATGTACCTTGGTTGCGGGCATATCCCCAGTGGGGGGTGTGCAAGAGGCAGCTGATCGATGACTCTCTCTCATCGATGTTTCTAACTCTCTATCTCTCTCCCTTCCTCTCTGTACAAAATCAATAAAATATATTAAAAAAAAAAAAAAAAAGAAAATATATAGGGAGGAATTTATAGGGAAAAGGGATATAATGTCTGTAACTAAGTAGGAAATTATTCAGGAAAAAAATATGGTATATTGTGCATGGTGACAGTTAACATAGTAAAAAGTGGTCAAATTGATAAATCTGGGTAAATGGCATATGGGTCCAAACTTTTATTAGTTTGAGATTATTTTTGAAAGTTTTTGAAAATTTTCAATATTCCCTATTATGTGTAAATAAAAGTTTCAATTCCTTAGTTAGGCTTTCCATGATCTCATCAAATCACAACTAATGTCTTTCCTTCCAATACACAGTAATTATAAATTTCTGAACACACCAAACTGCTTTATTCTGTATAAAACATATCCTCTCTACTTCCTGAACGTTGTCTATCTGGCAAACACATTATTTTTTATGATGTTCAAGCCTCAACTCTTTTAATTATACCTTTCTTTCTACTTCCACCTTCCATACAAATATCCACTCCCTTCCTTGTGACCCACTGTATCCCACACAGACTTCTCCCACAGCACCGATCAGACTGCACTGCACTTCGTGGCTTCCAACTGTGCTTCCAGTTACTGTAAGCCAGTAAGGACAAGGACTATGACCTATGTTCAGACTCAGGTCCAGCACAAGTGCTTAAACTGGATGCACAGATTAAATATGTTTAATGAGAAGGGACACACACACACACACACACACAATATTCTTGGTTACTGTAATATCTATGTATTTCAATTCTTCCATCTTACGAATACTATAATGTTCTGGTACAGAGTACAGGTTTCAGAATCAGATAGACCTAAGCAATCTGAAACACAGCTCTACCTGACCACAACTCTATACAGTCACTTTGTTTTTAAGCCTCAGGACCTGTAATATAGTAAGTAGTTAATAAACAGTGTCCATTTTATTATTAGATAGCTTAAAGTCTCAAATATTCAAAATTACTACCTTTAAAAATCTGGGGTTTTTTTTCTATCTCAATACAGTTTTCAATTAACTTCTCAAGGAAAAGAACTGCCTATTTTTCACTAAAAAGTGAACTTGTTGTCAATCTCATTTAAAGATGCTATTAAAACTGAACACAAATTCCAATAAAGTTTTATTTCATAATATTCATAAATATTGTCTGCTAAATGTTATTTTATGGTAGTGCTGCAAACAGCCCATACAGCAACTTCAAAATAAAGAGGAAAGAATGTGATCACTAAAATTTAAGCAAAATAGAGAATTTCAACATATCTATCAAATACTCAAAACAAGAATGGTTTCACACTGCTGAGGCGCATACACACACACACAAACCCAAAGATCATCATCCATTAAAGCAAATAAACCTAATTTATAAGAAAATTTCCAAAACTCTCATCTATAACGTATTATCCTTAATTTATGACCCAAGTTTTATTATTTGAGTATCTCAGACACTAGCAAACTAGAAAGGTAAGGTTTGCTTATGGAGAAATATGAATAGCTGATAGAAAAGGCACAAAATATGAAAAAAGTCTATAAAAAGATTCTCAACATAGTCTGCCAGAGCAATTTTTTTTCAAAGAAACTATATCAAATTAAGTAATATTAGATAAGAAAGTAGTTAATAAGCATTATGTAATTTCCTTTACAACTAAAAACTATTTCATTCCATAAAGAAATGGGATATTAAAGATTCAATAAGTACATTTTTTTTTGTTTTGTTTTGTTTTTAATATATTTTATTGATTTTTTTAGAGAGGAAGAGAGAGGGATAGAGAGTTAGAAACATTGATGAGAGTGAAACTTTGATCAGCTGTCTCTTGCACGCCCCCTACCGGGGATGTGCCCGCAACCAATGTACATGCCCTTGACCGAAATCGAACCCGAGACCTTTCAGTCCACCGGCCGACGCTCTATCCACTGAGCCAAACCGGTTTTGGCATCAATAAGTACATGTTTCTTAAGAAAGAAGAGGGTATGGGAAAATTGTTGCTAAATTTTTTAAATCATATAAATCAGTTTATTGGTCTTTATTAAATGTTAACAACAACATAAAATTAACATATTACAACCATTATAAATATTTATTACAGATGACATTTCCTGAATTCAGAAGCATAAAGTATTAAAATTTAGATTTAAGGAATGGCAGAAAAACTATTCCAAACTTTAAGAGAAGTCTATCTTGCATTTTATTGAATTACCTTTCCTGTTTGAGAGCATACTCCAGCATTTTGATCCTCCTCACAAGATCCTTCTTCAAATTTTCTTGACCTTTCCTTTCCCCCTGAAGAAATGCAATCTGGGCCTGAGAAGGGAAAAGAAAGATAAAACTCAGTTTAGAGCAAATAAGTTTTTTATTAAAAACTCAGTTGAGGAAAGAACCTTTGGGAGATAGGACAGTTAGATGAAAAAAACATTTCCTTTACATATCTGTCACAAAGTATGCAAGTATACAGGAAGGCATTGGCTGCATGAAAAAAAAAAAGGGGGGGGGCTGAATGTATGATTCTGGACTAGATTTGGCTATAAAAGGAAGTCATTGGGACAACTGGCGAAACATGAATGGGGTCTCAGGATTAGAGATAGTTAACATATCAGTGTTAGTTTTCTGGGTTTGACAGCTATATGTAGTTACACAGAGCAGTATTTGTTTATAGGAAATAAACCCTAAAGCATTTTGTGGAAGGCCATGGGCCATCAGGTTGGCTAGCATGGTTCAGGACAAAAATAATTCTTTGTATTGTCCTTGCAACTTTTCTGTCAATATAAGAATTAAAATTGTCGATAAAATCTTTTATTTTGAAACAAATACTATGCCAATATGATAAAATACAAACAATACAATTTAATACCAGCATCATGAATAATGAAGAAACCCTATAAGTATTGATAATCAGAAACAAAACAAGGATGTTCATTTTTTCATCACAAATATTTAACCTTGTTCTGGAGGTGGTAGCCAGTGTCATTAATTAAGAAACAAATAAGTTTAAAAATAAATAAATAAATAAATAAATAAATAAATAAATATAGAGAAGAGGAAATAAAATTATTATTATTTGCAAATTATATGAGTGGATACCTGGAAAATCCAAGAAAACTAATTGTAAACAATTATAAAAATAGAGGAATTTAAAAAATAATCAACTGAAACCAATGAGCTTCTATAAAAAGTACTAGTTAGATGATATAAAGAAAATAATCCCACTTATAATAACAAAAATGGTAAAATGATTAGAACAAATTAAGAGCTATGCAGAGAGAATATTTTAAATGGTACACTAAAAAATGCCTGAAACAAATGAGAAGCAAAGCCATGTTCTTAAAAAGAACAATGATTTTATTTCACCCTAAATAAATCTTTAAAAATTATGCAAGCCCAAATAAAATACCAACAGTGTATTTTTAAAAAGCATCATAGTCCTAGCTGGTTTGGTTCACTGGATAGAGCATTGAATGGCCTGCAGACTGAAGGGTCCTGGGCTCAATTCTGGTCAAGGGCACATGCCCAAGTTGTGGTCTCAATCCCCAGTAGGTGGTGTGAAGGAGGCAGCTGATCAATGATCAGAGATAATCCTCTCTAATCATTGATGTTTCTCTCTAATCATTGATGTTTCTATTCCTCCCTCTCCCTTCCTCTCTGAAATCAATAAAAATATATTTAAAACATCAGACATATTGATTCTAAAGTACATATTGTTGGGACTGCAGAGCAATACAGTCATTCAAGGCCATTTGTAGCTTCTCCCCACAGGAGAAAGGCCAGGAAACACTTGCTGGACACCAGGAATCAGACCGTATAAGGAACTGAAGCAGTCCTAAAGACACCTGATTGCACAACTGCATTCCATGAGCATTCCAAGCTCACCAGCCCAGCCCCCAGACCCACTGACTGTAAGAGCTGCCTGCCAGTGACTGCAAACAAGGCTGAAACTCCAGGTCCGAGTGCTGCCGTCATCACCCAATGTCCAGCCCCTTCCCTTTGGTTATTCCATTCTCCAACCTTTTCCTTAAATAAATTCCTACAATAAAAGTATTCGAATGCATGACATTTTATTTAATAAACTATAAGATGTGCTCCAAAGGAAAACAAAATAGAAAATATAAACAGGAGATATAATAAAAGCTTACCTTTTAAAAAAGGTCAATATTAATCAACACAATATCAAAATGAAGAGCCATGAAACTATATTGATGGAAGATCATTACATGAAAAGCTAGAGAGCCTAACTAGAAATATACCTAACGATCACAGTTTTAAACAGAAACAACTGAGCCCTGACCAGTGTGGTCCAGTTGGTTGGAGGATCATCCTGTACACGAAAAGATGGAGGGTTTGATTCCAGCCAGGGCACACAGCCAGGCTGTGGGTTTGATCCCCAGTCGGGGTGTGTGCCGGAGGCAACTGATCAATGTTTCTTTCTCACATCAATATTCCTCTCTCTCTCTTTCTTCCTCCCTTCTTCTCTCTGAAAATAAAATAAATATTAACAACTGAAGTTGGGCAAAGTTTTTTAATACTCTTCTTGGAACTTTCCTGTAAATTGGAATATTTTTTCCAAGTTCTTAAAAAGGCAGCTCTGATGCATCATACATACCATACCTGTTAAAAAGATAAAACAATGTTCACAGACAGCTGAATTACAGATATATATTTATATGGCTGGCAGCAATGCAAAATTTATTTTTGGCAAAAGGGGCCTGACAATGCTACACACATACCCTATAACCTGGTATGGAAACACCAGCACCTTCCTCCACAGCATCCAAAAGAAAGTAATGTGCAAAGATTTTTAGATACGCTCTACTTTTGCTTCTATTTTTATCCTTTGAATTCTTTCCTTCTAATTTTCCTTTCAATCCATTTCTCTACATAGATAGAATTATGGTACAGAATTTTATAGTTTACATTTTGTTATGCAGTTTTTGTGTTATTACTGTTTTTATGACCATCATTTTCATTGGGTTTATTATAGATCTCTAAGTAAATTTACCATAACTCTTACTTAATCATTGTGGCAGATTCTGTGTACTAGCTATTCAAAATACATATTCCCAACCCCCTTCCACCTTGTAACTTCCCACTATAGAATCTGGAAAGCCAAATGATTGCTGTCTTGGGTTGTGTGTGTCCACACATAGCTATGTAACTAATGAAATATAAGGTGAAAAATTTACACAGTCTGAAAAGTAAAATAATAAAAGCTTACTTTTTTAAAAAAAAAAAAAGTCAATATTAATCAACATATTAAAATGAAGAGCCATGAAACTATGTTGATGTAAGATCATTACATGAAAAACTAGAGAGCCTAACTAGTAAAACAATACACCAATGATCAATTTTAAATATAAACAACTGAGCCCTGCAGAGAAACCAGAGTATACTAGATATATATATATATATATATATATGAATGTCTGATGTGAGTGGGAGAAGATACTTCTGGGAAACTTTATCACTCACTGATAAAAAAAGGCTCGTCTGCTTTTACTTAGTTCTTACTGTCTGTAACTACAACAGTCTCCCTTTCTCCATGGTTTCACTTTCAACAGTTTCAGTTACCCAAAGTCAACCGTGGTCCAAAAATATTAAACGAAAAATTCCAGAAATAAATAATTCTTAAGTTTTAAATTGCAGACCATCCTTAATAACATGATGAAACCTCACACTGTCCCACCTGAGACATGAAACCCTTTGCCTACTATATTCCTACTGTATAAGTTCCTGCATGTTAGTCATTTAGCAGCCAACTTGGTTATCAGGTCAACTGGGGGGCATCGCAGTGCTTGTATTCAAATAACCCTTATTTTACTTAATAATGGCCCCAAAGCAAAGAGTAGTTAGTGATCCTGGCAATTCCAATATGCCAAAAAGAAGCTATGAATTATAGGTATGTATGAGAAAATATATATTATATACTAGTGGCCCGGTGCATAAAATGCATGCCCAGGGGGCGGGAGTTCCCTCAGCCCAGACTGCACCCTCTCTAATTGGGGACCCTTTGGGAGATGTACGAATAGGCCTAAATGGGCAGTTGGACATTCCTCTTGGAATCTGGGACCACTGGCTCCTAACTGCTCACCTACCTGCCTGCCTGATAACCTCTAACTGCCTCTGCCTGCCAGCCTGATGGCCTCTAACTGCCCTCCCCTGCTGGCCTAATCACCCCTAACTGCCCCTGCCTCAGTGCCCACCACCATGGCTTTGTCCGGAAGGAAATCGGACATCCAGAAGATGGCCCGTCGACCTGGTCTAATTAGCATATTACCATTTTATTGCTTAAATGGGGGGAAGGGGAGAGAATTTTTCAGCAGGAGGAGATGACTTGGCAGACAAAAATACATAATCCCTATACCTGGACTGATAGCCAGCCATATGCACTATACTGCCAAACTGGTCATTAAAAAATTGAACCGCTTTCTTACACCTTACACCAAACAGCTGTTGCCCTTAAAACCACTCCTTCCCCCCCCCCCCTCCACCTTAGGTTCTGCCTTCACAGTTCACCCAGACTAGGTTGTGACTGCTCAGTTTTTATGCCAGTCATTGACAAAGCTCTGCCTCCTAGGCAGCCATTGGCTCCTCACAGTTCACCCAGATTTGGTTCTGATTAGTCAGTTTCTATGTCAGTTAGCATCTCCAAGGCCTATCTCCAGACCTGATCAGAGATGTGGCGCTGATCAGCAGTCGCCCAAGCTGTTGGCTAGCAGGCTGAACTGCTGACCTTGCGGAGACAGAGGCTCGCTCAGCTGCTGGTGAGGCCCGGAAAGAGAGAGGGAGGCAAGAGCTGATCAGACTCCCCCCCCCCCCCCCAAAAGGTCAGCAGTTCAGCCCGCTCACCAGTCCCCGCCCACCTGAGCCTGCTGCGCATGCAGCCTGGTATTTGGTCATCCCTTCGGTCGTTTTGGACATTAAAGTTCCTGGTTCTTTATATATATTGATGAAGTTCAGTACTATCCAGTTTCTGGCATACACTGGAGGGGGAGGTTCTTGAAACACAATACTGTCTAGCAATCTTGTAATCATAATGCAACAATAAGCTGGTACATTGGGGGTAAAGGATAGCAGAAAGAATAGAAAAAAACCTAGATTCTTTGTCATCACTGAGCAACTGCAATAGCTAATGTCAAAGAAAAGCACTACCCACAAACAGAATGTGAGAAAAATTAACTTTATTTTTTTATGTCACTGTTGAGAGGATTTACTTGTAGCCAAAGCATTCCCAGTAATACTCATTTCACTACAGTTTGACATTTAGATTATAATTCTAATCTATCTATCTATAAAAGCCTAATATGCAAAGT